GAATAATAACAGTTGAATTGATTTTGCTTCAAAAATACTCCAGAGTGTTTGTTATGGCTTGAATGACGTCAATTCGACGACAGGGGTGAGGTTGTGAATTTTGTTCCCCAAAGGGAAATGGATAAAAAGGGGTGCGGAGGTATAGTTAACACTTTTGATCACGACCTTACGGGAAGGGTGTAACAATAATGCACCTTTATTAGTCATGCACCCTTTAGCCAACAGAATCATAGATGTGCAAATGTTATCATTCTCAGAAACATGGCTGCTTCCAGAAAGTTATATTCTGTGTCAAACTCGTGTCATTATTTATGCTCTACCCGCGCTTGAAACATGGTGGAAGCGCGGGAAGGGCATCATGAACATTTATAGAAGTTTTTGAAACTAATGTCTGTTTGCTGTTGACAACAATATTGGCACAAATGACAAGATTTCTGATGACTGTTTAATGCCGAACTGCGTGTGTCTTATTTTCACTGCATACTGTGGCATTGTACTGCATGTACTCTACTGTACACATGAACATGTTGAACTGTGACATTCCCATGTGACTACTGCTGGAAGAATTGCCATCTCTCTCATATCAACTTGGATAAATGACTGTCCACCGTTCCAAAGTGTGATTATGCACAGTGTTTTTGCTCATACATGTACTTTTACTTACACCAATAACTGATTAACTGACACAGAAAACTACTGTCAAAATGCCAACTTCTTCTGGAGCCACCCATTTGCTGCTTCAAGCTCAAATGTTACGGAGCAGTATAGTCACACATCAATCCACGAGCTCATTTTAATGCAAGTGCTAAGGATGAAGCCGTAGAGTGGAAGATGTGGCGTCAAATGTGGAACAACCACTGTGTGCCATATCGGTGTGGAAGGCACTTTGAGACGAGCAAGAGAATACGTCTTCTTGCCTGGCATGACAGATGAATCCGATAGTGGATCAAGTGCTGTGAGACATGCAGAGAATACGAGGTGTCCCAAGCTCCACTTTCATTGATGCCCCATGACATATGCGAACGACCCTGGAAAAAAACTTGGCATTGATCTTTTCCACCATGATGGGAAAGATTACCTCATCACCGTGTGTTACAAATCGAACTTCTGGGAAGTGGATCGTCTGCACAGCACAACTGCCAGATCAGTCATTAGCAAGCTCAAACATCATTTGGCAGATATTGCATACCAAACATCATAGTCAGCGATTTTAATCTGTTCTCTTGGAACCAAAAATAACCATCCTTAGAGAAAGCTATTTTCTACTCAGATTTTTTGGCAAAGAAAAAAAATTATGAAGATTCGTTTTGCATTTTCAAGTGTTACTCATGTTGCATTTACTCAAAATTTTGATCAGCTGGAACGTTGTTGCCTAATTACATTACCCTTAATTTCAAATGTTTGATTCAGACAATGTATATAAGGGACTTGATGTTCTACATGTCATTTGTGAAAACAATTTGTATTCGTGCATTTCCCCACAAACTCAAAAAGGGGAGGATGTAACAATATGATTAATACACCTTTATTAGTCATGCACCCTTTTCAACAGAGGGCGCTGTGCAAATGCTATCATTCTCAGAAACATGGCTGCTTACTCTGTGCCATTATTTATGCTCTACCCGCGCTTGAAACAAGGGAGAGACTTTTGAGACGCTTGTTGGCAGCAAACACAGCGGTCCTTTTCAACTGAACATGCGCACATCAACATAAGGTGAACAAATTGAAAAGGACCGTTGTGTTTGCTGCCACCAAGTGTCTCAAAAGTCTCCCATTGGTGTTAAACGCGTTAGAGTGAAGACGAGCCGATGTGCATGTACGAGGTGCACTGAAAATCGACATTGGGTTTTTTTTTGTTCCTTTTAAAAACAGCGGCAGTGATTTCTTGCCAAAAAAAGGTGGTGCACAAGCAACTATGTTACAAGGAAATACAGTGCAAAGTAAGGTACATTGGGCTAAAATCTGTAAACAATTTGTAAACATTATGGGGGACAACGCTATTGTTAATTCTTCTTCTTTCTTCTGATCTGATTTGGGCGGCTCAGGTTGGGAAGTTGGCAAATATAGCCGTGTGGTTGCGAAGGACGATTTAGGGTTACGTAACACTTTATTTTGAATGAAACTACATGCACACATACAATGTTCACCGTGGCGGGCGAAATCTTTGAAAATTAATTTCTCCCGTTTAGAAGACCGTATCTTCATGCAACTTTCAGGGTTTATTCCCTTATAATGATCCAAGTATGTGCTAAAAATGGCTGTGATATGTTCATTACTTTTCGTTGAAATTGAAAATATAGGCCTGGCTACGTGCATTTCTGAAAGTTGTAACACTGGCGTTTGCAATATCTGTCAATCTTTTCAAGCCTCACGAATATTAATAAGGTTCCTATACATTATTGTGTGCAGTAAACATTTGCAGAAAAGCCTCCTTCACGAGTTATTAATTGATAAATATCACCCTTTTTGCTGGCTTCCATTGTACCGAGACACACGCCAAGTCATGCCGAGTGACTCTAATGAATATGCTAATATATGCCCGTCGTCATTGTGTTGCCGGGCCTAAATCGGTCAACCGAAGCGCCTATGTTGCTTTGCTGAACAGTGCACGTGGGTTGGGTCGGTAAAAAATTCTTGTCGAAATTTTCAATGGAGATAGTTCAAGGTGAAGTAGCGTTTGCAACAACAGATTAAGCTGAAATTCGGAATATACTTAGATAATATAAGTGTTCAACTACTTGTGAAATAACAACTTGAAGAAATTCTCAAAATTTGATATAAATATATAGATTTGGGGAAGTTTTCGAACGATTTCTTCCAGACTTGAAAGTCAGCTTTACCAGTAACCACTATTGATCTTTCGGCGATTTTTTTTTTTTTCACTGACACTAAGTTAAGAATTTCTTCTTCCGTTATTATTTAACAATTCAATCATACTGAACATATTTTCTGAGAAATACAACGTTAAAAAGGCCATGTTTTTTGGGCTCACAAATTTCACTGCTCTGTTACAGCGTCTAAGCTTAGTACGAAATCCGATTAGCTTTGCTTGACAACCGGCACACATTCGCCTTCGCAAACATATAGCTGAATAGAACCAGCTAGTTCTCCCCTCCTCGTCATCGTAGAGCTCCTTTAGAGAGTCCGAGCCGCCTGCAAGTCGGTGGATGGGACATAGGTCAACAAGGTGGACTGTGTGCCGTCTGAGGTGCCTCGCACCCGCATGCCGCGGTATCGGGAAAGATCTAGGCATGCATGCAGCTAGGCCTTAAAAGCGGCCTAGGCCAGTTGTGAGTCCATTGAGGCGGCACTACTCCTTTCTCGGGAGGTAATCCTGTTGGTTTGGTGGAGACCTGCAAGAAGTTATTTAGTTAACCTTCATGATCAGGTTGTCTTATAGCTTCTATTCTGACAGAAGCCACTGCTCTCTAATCTGGGATGGTCTGTTGTTAAGGCATCCAAGAACTGTTGGGCAGCTCATAATGTGGAAATGTTTCGGGTGGGCATAGGAGACTGCATCTTATTATTGTGGAGGGATGAGCTTCGTTGGCGGCCGGCAGGTTTCAAGGCAGCTCGTCTGGTTGCAGCACGTTTTCATAATACGACATGGTTTCATTTTACAATAAAAAAGTATCACGTACCTTACATGTGATGACGTGGACATTTTGTGTTCAAAATTCCGTAACTGGAACAGAGCATGAGCGATATTAATGATTTGGTCTGTTACTAAAATACTGTCTGCCAATTGTTACCTTTATTTATGCGTAATAAAAGTAACGTAATTGGTTTCAGAACTGTATTTCCCAATTAAAAGAATTGAAAAACACGCGTTGTGAATAATGGCGATCATATTGATTAAAGTCTATAATATAAACTGATATGCCGATTTTAACTCTGTCTTGACACATCAGTCATATTATATTATTAAGCATTCAAATGGATATAGGCCTATAAAGAAGACCTATAGCTTTTCGTTTTTCAACATACCACAAGTTTGTCCAGCAATAAAAACACAAAAATGTTATGGGGATTGACCAAGCATTTAGGAGTTGGACCACAGGGGTCTAACTTACTTCCAATATAGGGTTTACCTCCCCCACCCGCCTCCAAAAAGAAGGTAAACCACACAAACAGGATAATGATCAAGCTGAAAAGTTTGACCACCCGACCGGCTCCACCACGTATATTTTACCTCTACTATGATGAGCGGGCTCAACGTAATCTTGCTTTGACATTGTTTTTCTAAGCTCTAAGTAACATTCCAAGTTAAGTAATACAAGATAGTAATCATGATAAGCAAAAACACAAATATACATACAGCTTTGTGGAGTAAATGTCATGCACTGAGTTGGAGCGATTTCTTTTTTTTGGGGGGGGGGGGGTTATATATTTTGTACACAGATCACCAAGATGAAACCCTATCACCTAGGATTTTACACAAATTAAGTTTGACATTCCGCTTCAACTTCAAAATATAATAAAATAACCAAAGAGCTGATTCAAGGCACTTCTTGACTATTTTGTGCCAACAGATTGTACTCAGCCCCGTAGGCTGGGTGTGTCTGTGCTGGAGTATGTAAACACCGGCAATCGTGGACCATAGGACAAAATGGTAGGGCCAAACAATCCGTCCACGATTGATCGACAGTCCACGATGAAAATCGTGTATACAAAACTAATGAGAGCTGTTGCTAAAAAGTTGAGTACAAACAAAGGAATGAGGATTTGGGACAATGGGGGGTCCGCCATTGCCGGTTTTTACGAAGATGGGTGGGGTGTCTGTAGGGGGTGTCGGACGAAAAAAAAATTACAAAGTGCCAAGGTAACAGGAAAACACATTTTGGACCCTAGCTAAAGGTACAGAACGACCCGGATGTGAATCTTGCCGGCCAGCCTCTCACAAGCTACAGTTTTTCAGGTTTTGCCACCTATACTGGTCTCAAGTTACCATTTTCATTTTGCCTTAAAGAGGAAACAAAATGTCTTGAAATGAAACTTACGGCAAGAGAGTTCATCGGAGGCATCTGGGCAATCCTCGCGGAAATCGCAGAATTTGTCACTTGCCAGGCAGGTCATGTCATCACATCGCCTCTCATTGGATTGACACGGTGCCAAGGTGGTTTGACCTGTGAAAGAATTGCTCAATTAACTTTGCATTCACACTATGTCAGAATTTATTTCAAGAGAAAATACAACAAAAATAAAGAAAAAAAACGGAGAATGCTCTCCTGAATTCGAAGTCCATCGTTTTCACGATTTCGAACAACACCCGGAAACAGTTGCATGATTTTTTCTTAACATCTTTTTTCCCCTATCTTTTGAGTCACTTTTAACACAGTGTATAAGGATATGACATTGTTTTCATCTTTTGGGGGCATTTTCAAGAAAGTAAAAAAGAAATCCGAGACTTTTTCATTCGTTTTTAGCAAAGCCACTAATGTGTACATTTTGCAGGTGTAAAATCAATAATATAAGTGTATATAGTTTGTGGTTGCACCATTTAAAAGCGAAGGCTCTTTGGTAAGATTGTGTGGTTCTGGGAAGAAAGATTGGAAACTCAATTAGTTCCAACCAAGTAATATACAGAGAAACAAATTATGGATCCACTAGAATTTACTCTTCAAGTCATTTCCCTTTTTCCCCAAGCCGGCAAGTAAAAGTAATCAAAATAGCACTTACCAGAGTATTAAACTCAAGCACCATACTCTGTTGTCAAATGCCTTTTGTGGGTATTGCGACTGGACACAATACTCAATAATTCATGAACATACTTTTGCCCAACTAAAACCATGACTGAACGAAAACTTGCAAAGCTAGGCTCAGTTTCAGACAAAGACCAAGGTTCAAGTCCTTTGATGAGCATACACAGTGTGAGTCAAAAAAAAGCGAAACCCAAACCCCAACAAATATATTTCGTATTTAAATACAATTTGTAACAATAAACATAATAATGACTGGAAAGCCAATTTCATAAGATACTTTTAGATGAAGCAAATAACTGAAATTTGTCAATCCATTCAGCACCATTTCAACGCAATGACCCTAAAACCTCTTTCGTCAAAAAAAACCCCCGTTTATTGTGTATTCTGACTGTTTGGAACAACAAAACAAAAATGGCACAGAATACTGTTTCAAAACTGTCAACAACTGTAGAACACAATATCTTTATTAACAACCCTGTTTAGGCAAACAACGCGATTTATAAAATCCATTTTTTTTTTAAAGACGGGCCTTCAAAAGGACTTTGAACTTTTAAACTGAGGTGTTGTCGCTGGTAATGTTTGAAGACAATTGTGACGACGATTCTTGAAATCGCATTTTTGGACGAAAGAGGTTATGGTGATATTGTTTGAACGGATTGAGCAATTTCAGCAATTTTGTTTTCATTTAAAAGTAGCTTATAAAATTGGCTTTCCCGTCATTATGTTTGGTGCTACATATTTTTAAATATGAAATATAATTTTGGGGGTTTTGGTTCCGCTTTGTTTCGAATCACCCTGTATTTTCAGTAGGCCTTTCTATCAAAAAATAAAACTCGTGAAGTTTGAGAACTCAGACAACATGGTTTCTCAGGCCGCAATAAACTTAATGATTTCCAAGGTCGACATCAATTTGACAAAAGTTGTCACAGACTCAGGGAAACAGACTTGACCACATCTGTATATACCCAATATTAACGAAAGATATCGACTACACTCACCCCGCAATCCTGTAACAAAAAGTGACAGCAGAAATGTTTGAATGAAGAAATCCATGTTTCATGCAGAGAAATCCAGTGGTGATCCTCGTCCACAAGATCCACGTCAACCACTTGTAATTGTACAAAAATATGGATTTTTTTCTCTCAGTTTTCGAAGACTTGGCTATACATGTATATAAAACAAACTATTTCCAACAAGATATCGATGTAACTTGAGCACATTAAACACAACCAACATGCTTGAACAGCCACATAGAATACTCTGCACCCAGAACAAAAGTTGTCCAATGATTTGGCTGGGGCCAGAATGGGGGAGGAATATGGGATGGGGTAGACTAATAGGGCTTACCTGATGGGGTCATCCCTAGATAGAGGGATCTCGGCCATACACCAAATATTATTTTATCTAAGAGTGTTTGTTAAGATTATAGGGATGACCAAAATACAGGGTCAGCCACAGATAGGGGGCCGTGGCCGGCCACGCATCAATGTATTATGTAACTCTATGATTTTTTAAAACTTGAAAAGAGAAATTTGAATATCAAAACCATATAAATGTATGTTTATATGTTAAACAAGCAATCGATTAAAGTTTTACAGAATCCTTTTTGTTATAGAAAAAGAAACTCCATTCCCAAGACAGCAAAGTCACATATTCTTAATTGTCTCCTAAAGAGACCAAGGTCCTGCGCTTAACTTGGCCCCATTCCTCTAATCATCGCAGTCAAGCGATCATCCAGTGCACCAAGCTCAGCCTCTGTCATTATATTATTTCAGTAATCGAAGAGTTCATTATTTCACTTTAAATATTGAAACAATTTAAAAACTTTCCTGTTTGGCAAAAAAACAAGAAACCAAATCAAGTGCTATCTTGCTACCAGGTACTGGTACTACAGCAAACAGTTCAAAAGCATTAGAGGGGATTTATAAGATAACAATGGAACCACATATCGATAAGAAGTCGATAACATGACAAATTCCTGTCACCAAAGTTATGTGAACAGTCAAATCGTACATCATCAAGGCTGTGGAATATGTGTGGTTTCCATGTTAACAAGCAGGTATGTTGTTATCCTGAACACAAAAAAGGTCCTCCCTAAAAGGGGGAAATCAAAATTAACCAAGCTGTTACTCGAGGTTTTACGAGGTTTAACAGGGTTTTAAGGGGTAAAAAAAGTAAAGTCTGTCACGACATTTGGCCCATCGGGCCGACGTTTATCTCCTGTTTCAGTAGCATGAAACGACTGAGAATATTTCTACTCCCCCTGGACGGGATGCCAGTCCATCGCAGATTACTCCTCAGCTAACGCTGGAACCCAGTTTTACTCCTGGGTGGAGAGAGGCAAGAGGGGTGAAGGGGCTTGCCCAAGGACACAACATTATGACCAGCAGCTGGAATCGAATCCCTGACCCTCTGATCGTGAGTCACGAACTCTGTCCACTAGGCCACACTCCTTACATTTGAGGGGTACCTCAGGGTAAAACCTCAAGTTACCCTTGAATTGTTCCCTAAACACAATAACAACAATTCAGGGAATGTAAACCAAAAGAAATACATTTTGAAGAATCTTAAATAAAGGTCAGTCACAATTCTTGTTTTTAAAAACATTCTAAGTTTGTCAATATTTATTCAAAGTATCATCTTTTTGGTATAAATAGCAAATCTGTCCTTGATCTGTCCTTAACAGATTAAACATCAAACATACAAAAGTAAAGCTTGTCTTAGCTGCATAATCATGGATGATAGTTATACAACCATTGCTTCAATTAGATCCTTACATAAAAAACAAACAAGTGATGCAACCTTAAAGGGCCATGCAAAGTAATGTTTTAATGCTAGTTTTGAAACCGCACCTTTGTGTACCACTTAACCTTGTTTTCAATTTTCGTTATGCCCTTTTGAAGGGTATTTTGGTGCCTGTTTGTTTTTTATACTTACCATGCCAATTACCAAATTCAGGAGCAAAACTGTGATGTCATTTCAGGCAGAACCTCAATGTCACAGCTATTTCTGCACCAAAAGTTACCGGAATTTTGGATATTTTGGTGTAAATTTTCTTTTCTTTCAAGTGATTCCTTGTTTTGTCAGTACACTACATGTCAGTAAGCCAATGAGCAAACGTTTCTCACAATTCGAACTCGAGCCACTAAACTGAAGTGTCTTCCTGAAATGACATCAGAGCAACAGCGCCCTCAGTTATCCGGAAAGCATGGTCAATTTTGGAAAAAGTGTACTTTCCAGTAAAATTAACAAAAAAGGCATGTGAAACAGTTTTCATACATTTAAAGTTGCACAAATAGAAGGTTGCACAAAATGTGTCCCTCAGAAATATTCATTTCATGAACCCTTTTAACCAAATAAGGCTTTCTCAAAATAGAAACACTGAACATTGCTTTGATCAAATTTATTTAGAGATACAAGTCAGAAAGTTAGAGAGCATATATACTGCATAAAATTTGAGTGAATAAAAAAGATAGCTTAAATAAAAACATAACCCCCGGTTATTTTAAAATATTTTAAAATATTTTTCATGCAACTTCACCAACTCTAACATTCAATTTTGTCCGAGAAAAATTTCACACGCTTAAAAAAAAAAACCGATTTAGTCATTTACCATTCAATTTAAAAGTTTGGTCACCCTCTTTAGTCACAAGGTCAAGAATATTCGTCAATACAGATCAAATTCGTCTAAGCTGTTGCTGATGGCAGCATTCAGAGATCGAATTCATCTTATATTAATCAATTAGACGAATTTGTTTTCTAAATAACAAGGTTTGGCGTAGATGAGGCAAAATTGAAAACTCCGGGACGAAAAACGTGTGCTCATTGTTTGAATTTGCTTGAACTGAACTTGAAATTGACTGACAAACGATGAAATTAGACACAGGAAGTACACTAAATCAATGTTGATGGACAAATTTGAATATTAGAAACAGAAAATTTGAATGATAAACCTTGAAAATAGCCGGGAAAGCCTATATTAATTCGAAATTACGGCAAGCATTCCTATTGGCAGTTGATTAAATGATTAACCGTGCTGTATGTCATTGCTGAGCTACGTGTAACTTTCCCATGTACAGTTATATTAATAATCATTCACAAATGTATACGCGAGACATTTTACCCATTCCTACTGGTCGAGAGCCCGTCACGAAGGTGATTTTAAACGGTCAATAAAACACCAATAAGTTTTTAACACTTTTTCTGGTGTCACATTAATTTAGGCTCAAATGAAATCTGGCCCCTTTTACCCTTTTTATTGGTTGAACCCTCACACGTGACCAGTCACTCTCCTAAAATTATCTTTACTTAGGCATGCGCTGTCTTGCATACGAGTCCTAATCCACACTATGCCTACACCGCTGCGTTCTGGGTCACATCGCGCAGAACGCGCCGAACGCGCCACGTGAGTGCCAATAATAAGGAGATTTTTAGTACTACTCACACCGGGCACAACATACCATACACATAGCTAGAGGGGTGTTCCACAAAACAAATTTGTTGAACAAAATTGTTGGACATTTTTTATTTTTGACCTGTTTGGACTTTTTGCCTGAAGGTAATTTATGAATGAGAATAAATATGTGCTTGGCCGGTATTAAACAAGTATGTTTTAAATCATGCCCAGATATTGGCCTATTCACAGGTTAGCAAGAAAGTTTGGATGATGAGCATAAAAAAAGACTGACTGTGTGCCAGTGCAGTGTCAAATCCCTATGCTCACAAAAGCATAAATTATGACAATAAGCATATATTGTGCGGTAAGCAAACTTCAGCTGTAAACTTGGGGCCTACATTGGTAATCCAAATTTGGTGATTCCTGTACACCCTCGTTGTCTTGATATCAGCTGTCTAGGTCTGGATTAGGCGAGAGGCTCCAATCAGAGCAAAGGCAGCCCAGTGTTGCGGCAGGTGATGCTCCCCCCTGTCTGCTAGCATGGATAGCATGGCTTCCCTCAAGGCCCTCGCCGAATCACGGTGGACCTATAAAGATGTCAAGACGTTGCTTTCTTTAATTGTAGGATTTGAAGCCGAATTTTTTTAATTCGATTTGAATTCCACTATTTGGTTTTGATGTGGGAAACTGGGTAAGCAAAACCAACCTTAAAACAGCCTTCCATTTTTTTTTTGTGACACACGCTAAAGAAAACAAATGGAACATCCCCTAATTGGCAGTCTCTGATTGAAACAGAATTCATTTGTCAATGGTCTTCTTCGTGTATGAATAACCTGCCCCTTTGATTGATCAGATCATTCCCACCCTTTTTTTCAACACTACAGACCTGGAGTGTACGTGTTCATCTTTTCAAACCGCGGACGAAAATTACCAGAGAACAAAAGAGAACAATATCATCCACGATTCCCAGCATACGTCCGCGATTGGGTTTGTGTACAAAACCTATGGGAGTCTTCCTAAAAAGTTAGAGTGCAAACAAAAGAGGGACAATAGAGGATGTCCACGATTGACGGTGAACACACATTTGTGTGTTTTTGTGTGTGTAAATGTCCAGAGTGGTCATTGAATCCTGCAAACTATACCCAATCATTGGAAAGGCATTGTATGTAGCACTCATCATTTTTTGTTGGCATGACTGTGAGCTGAATGGGAACTTCCAGTGAAAAGGGTTATCTTCAATTTCTCCCACATCCAGCGTTTTCTTCAAGTGGTATTAAGAACGTCTGCACTAGAAAGCAGGAGGTCATGGGTTCGAGTTCCACCCGAGTGATTTTTTTTCCAACTTTCACTTGGGAGGTAGTACACTGAGTATACAGTGTTTATACGTCGGTGAAGGGCAACAAACCTAATATTGATATTTACCATACTTCACACATATTCATGATCGAGAGTTGAATTCTCACTTGTTCATTTACCGTCACTTGTCAGCCCAGTGTGCTAGTCTTTTACCAGTTTGTAAGGCGTTCAGGCGAAACGAGACAGAACTGGGTAGAGGTCGAAATGAGGGTTTATAATAATAATACAAAGTATTTATATAGCGCTTTACGAAGAACAAAATGCTCAACACACATCCACAAAAAAAACCCCAAAAAACAAAGAAAACTAAAAAGTGAAAGTGTCAGTTGCCAATTGTTTTTCCTGAAAACCACTTTTATTCTATGGTTTTAAATTATTTCTTTATAACATGTGTAGTAGACCGTATCAAAGATTACAAATATCAATAAATACAGAAATCAGAAACACCAATTCACCCATTCATTTTTTTGGTTGCAGTTTACTCCACTACTGCCTAGCTGTGCCCAGTAATCACATTTACTGCTTAGCAAAGTCCTTAACTACTTGACTACACTTCAGGGAACAAAAGGGCTTCTTGACGTCATCTCTGAATGGTCCAAGTTGGAGATGGATCCAGCTTTTGCACCTGGACCAATTTAATGGGGTTTCTAAGCAAAAATTACTTCCGGCAAAATTTATATGCTTCGCAGAAAATAAGCACAATTAGCCAGTCATAAGCATGACACTTCGGCAATAACTGTTTTTGCTTCCGTAAGCTAGGCTCCTTCTTGGCACTGTGCATGTTGGTCTATTAGTCCCTCTCCTAATGGCAACTGCAGTGAAATAAAGATGTTTGAACTTACGATGAAATCCTGGTAGAAATGTCGCATGAACTGAGCAGTGGCTTTGTCATAGATCTTCCACTGGGTGACCACGACGCTGGCTGCTCCAGCTACTAGGAAAGACCGGTACAAACCAAGCACTCCATCCCCTTGGGGGCAAAAAAGGGAAGATAGTACCCAAAATTGGTCTTCCAAAGGGATAAATCTTTATTGTACAAAGTGGCATAGTTTAGACAAAGAAGTGCACACTTAATTACTGGTCCCTCGCTGTGTTTGATTAATCAATATGAAGTGCAAAAGGGTAGTCAGAATCAGTCAACACTGAGAGACAAGTGATTTTGCACTATTTCCCTGATACGCTGGTTTTGATGCCCTTTTTTGACAACCATACCTGTTTAGCTTAACCATTAGTACATGTTCTACATTGCATTACATTGTGTTTATTCACTGAAGAATCAATAAAACCATAGAGTGCTTGGGAAGGTTTGGGCGCTACAGTGAGTAATAGGCAGGGTGGTTTGGGGTGCTACAGTGAGTAATAGGCAGGGTGGTTTTGGGCGCTACAGTGAGTAATAGGCAGGGCGGTTTGGGGCGCTACAGTGAGTAATAGGCAGGGTAGTTTGGGGTGCTACAGTGAGTAATAGGCAGGGTGGTTTGGGGCGCTACAGTGAGTAATAGGCAGGGTGGTTTGGGGCGCTACAGTGAGTAATAGGCAGGGTGGTTTGGGGTGCTACAGTGAGTAATAGGCAGGGCGGTTTGGGGCGCTACAGTGAGTAATAGGCAGGGTGGTTTGGGATGCTACATGCAGTGAGTAATAGGCAGGGCGGTTTGGGGCGCTACAGGGAGTAATAGGCAGGGCGGTTTGGGGCGCTACAGTGAGTAATAGGCAGGGTGGTTTTGGGCGCTACAGTGAGTAATAGGCAGGGTGGTTTTGGGCGCTACAGTGAGTAATAGGCAGGGTGGTTTGGGGCGATACAGTGAGTAATAGGCAGGATGGTTTGGGGCGCTACAGTGAGTAATAGGCAGGGTGGTTTGGGGCGCTACAGTGAGTAATAGGCAGGGCGGTTTGGGGCGCTACAGTGAGTAATAGGCAGGGCGGTTTGGGGCGCTACAGTGAGTAATAGGCAGGGTGGTTTGGGATGCTACAGTGAGTAATGGGCAGGGCGGTTTGGGGCGCTACAGTGAGTAATAGGCAGGGTGGTTTGGGATACAGTGAGTAATAGGCAGGGCGGTTTGGGGCGCTACAGGGAGTAATAGGCAGGGCGGTTTGGGGCGCTACAGTGAGTAATAGGCAGGGTGGTTTTGGGCGCTACAGTGAGTAATAGGCAGGGTGGTTTGAGGTGCTGCAGTGAGTAATAGGCAGGGTGGTTTCGGGCGCTACAGTGAGTAATAGGCAGGGTGGTTTGAGGTGCTGCAGTGAGTAATAGGCAGGGTGGTTTCGGGCGCTACAGTGAGTAATAGGCAGGGTGGTTTGGGGCGCTACAGTGAGTAATACTCAGGGCGGTTTGGGGTGCTACAGTGAGTAATAGGCAGGGCGGTTTGGGGTGCTGCAGTGAGTAATAGGCAGGGTGGTTTGAGGTGCTGCAGTGAGCAATAGGCAGGGTGGTTTGGGGCGCTACAGTGAGTAATAGGCAGGGTGGTTTGGGGCGATACAGTGAGTAATAGGCAGGGCGGTTTGGGGCGCTACAGTGAGTAATAGGCAGGGCGGTTTGGGGCGATACAGTGAGTAATAGGCAGGGTGGTTTGGGGCGATACAGGGCGTAATAGGCAGGGTGGTTTGGGGTGCTACAGTGAGTAATAGGCAGGGTGGTTTGGGGCAGTACAGTGAGTAATAGGCAGGGTGGTTTTGGGCGCTACAGTGAGTAATAGGCAGGGTGGTTTGGGGCGATACAGTGAGTAATAGGCAGGGTGGTTTGGGGCGATACAGTGAGTAATAGGCAGGGTGGTTTGGGGTGCTACAGTGAGTAATAGGCAGGGTGGTTTGGGGCAGTACAGCAGGCTATAGGCAAGGCAGTTTCTACAACTTTATAGGCAGTTTGACTTCAAAAGGTTAATTCTAAAAGTTGCTGTATTTTTTTTTTTATATCACATTTGGAAACATTTAACATCATGTCTCCCAAAAAAATGCAAGTAAACATGAAGTAATAAAATAATACTGTATTTCATTTGCAGTGCAGGTTTTCGCAAAGGTTTAACCACATGCGTTCAACTAAATCATAAATTTCTTGAACAAGCAACAATCATAAGTTACAATAAGGGACTAAATATGTACTTGGCCGGTTTTTATGTACTTGGCCAGATAGTGACCTCTCATTCGGCTCGGGCCATTATCTGCAGCCAGGCCCCTAGCTGGTTTTAAACGTACTTGTTTAATACCCATTCATAAATACCTCAGACAGTTTAGCCATTCCTATTGGTCGAGAGCCCGTCACGTGGCCGGTATTAAACGGATGATAAAGACATGGCTAGCTGGTCTTAAACACTTTTCCAGTGTCACAATAAAATGTGGACTCCTAAAAATCCAGTGCCTCTTATCGTTTCATTGGTTGAACGTTCACAATCCTCACGTAGGCATGCGCAACACTACCAGGGAGTTAGAATTTTATAGTTCTAAATTCAAAACGCAACGCGCCAGGTGCGTTCTGCGCGACATCGCATAGAACATGATACGCGCGCCTCAATCTCCATAAAAGGGTTGTTTTCATCTTACTCGCCAGCTGAACACTCCATTATTTTGCAAGAGGGATGATTCAAAAAGCATAAAGTGAATTTGTTGAACAAAATCGGGATGTTTTGAACGAATTATATGATTTTTTTTTACCGAAAAGGTATTTATGAATGGGAATAAATATGTACTCCGTCGGTATTTATCACTCTGTTTAATACCACTTAGAGTCTGGGTGCTGATAATTACCCTCGCCTCCGGCTCGGGTAATTATCAGCACCCAGACTCTAAGTGGTATTAAACAGAGTGATAAAAACCTCCGGAGCACACATTTATTCCCTTATTCATAAATGCCTTTCTGTCAAAATGTAAAAAACAAGTCAAAAATTAACTAATTGTTGCACAATTTTGTGCAACAATTTTACTTCAGTTGTATGAAACACCCCTCTGGCCATGTCTATGGTATGTGCCTCATGCATGCAGTGCTAAAAATCTCCTTATATGGAAATGTGCGAGGCGCATATATACCGGCAAAAACCCACATGACAGGCTCTCAACCAATAGCAATTGGTACACTGGTAATTGTGAATGTAATTTCAACTCTAATGAATTGCAGTTCTTTGTGAAATTGACACATACGGTACTCTCATGCTACAAATCTGAAAAGCCGAATCGTTTCATTAACCAGTTAACGGGATTGTTTTTCATGAACCTCGATGCCAGACGGGTTCAGGTCGTCATCTGCGGGTAGCACACCCTGATATTTCCGGCCTTGCTCGCTCGCTGTCAGAGGGTCGCTGACAAGATATTTTCCGGCGTCGCTCGTTGCCGTTAAGTGACATTCGTGCAAATGGGCCAAATTGCCAAACCCTTATCAGGGGAAGGCTACTCACCGGTGACTTGACCTTTTCCTGTCTGGCAGCAGCTGAGCACGGCCACCTCTGCCTTTAACCTTTGATCTTTGACCTCCTCGGCCATCAGGAGGCCACTGCAATTCTCGTGGCTGCGAGCAAGGACCAGAAATCCCTGCATGCTGAAATCTCCTGTCGGAACTCTTTCTGGCTGGCAGTCTTGTGTGCCTTCCTTGATCATCTAAAGTTTCAATAAAGACTTTTAAAAGTTTGTTGCTTTTTGCGCATATTTTTTTCACAAGTTACCTCAACGTGATGCTCTCACATGTCATATGACGTTGCATTAATGTGCATTTTTCTGAGGCCTATATCTAAAGAACTATAGGTCCGATATGGTTGTAACTTGATATGAACGTAAACCGAAATGTTAGACATGAAATTTGAAGTGACGTCATCATGTGTGCTTCACGTCACAGAGTCATTTCAAACAGCCGAAACAGCTACTATTTGTCCACAAAAACATTTCTAATTCTCCTTCTTATTAATGCAATTACAATGTTGAATTACACTGATTCGGCATCTTGCATATAAAGCTGGAATTGATCAGCTCCAACATGGGATGTCTATGGTCCAAGATAATGGGTCTGTAAAGAAAAAAATGCACATACCTTCACAATTCTATTATCCTGTTCAGCATGGGTTGCAAAATGTAAGACCGAGTGACCGGTCATTTTCTGCCGGACGTTGTCCACTGTTGCATCATTGCCGGTCAGCACCATGGAGTCTGTCCCTGGCTCTCCCTCCAATGATGATAATGAGGAATGTGACTGGAAGTACTTCTTCACCATTTTAGCTTCCTCAGTGGCCGCAGGAAGTGCTGGAATTCTGATACATGAAAGGTACTACGAGTTTAAAATTTGAAGCTTAGGATGGTGGACAAAACTATAGGATGAGTCAAAAAGACAGGAAACCGGATTTAAGATTTTTTTTTTCTTAAAAAGCAATCAAATTTGATACACCAATGAAGTTTGTCTTTAAAGGAGTATGTTCTTCAACTCATCTGAACAAAAAAATTACTGATATTGATCCATGCTATCAGACGTTATGCATGTTTTACTGAAAAGGAATGCCATTGGAAGCAACTGTACTTTGAGAATTACAGCCATTCGAATACAAATGAGATTTTAATAAGTGAAATCAAAACTGAAACATTATTATTTATTTTTAGAGTTCATTTTGGACAGTTCAGCAGTGTGCATATTGGGCTCCGTGCACAAGTACCCCCTCAACGGCACAAAAGGGAGAGTTGGGGGAGACCACTGGGGGCACATTGCCAACGACGCCTGACACTCAGACGACGCCTAAAGGGCCTGTCACATTATATGCGCTCTCATAGGAGACCTTACGGCCACCAAAAATTATTTAATAAATTTTAACAATCGCAGCGAGGACGCAAGAAAATGACAATTTTTCTGTCTCAAGCAGCCAGAAAGTAGCTCAAGCTACGCTCATATAGTGCTCATCCTGTGCTTACGATGTGCTCAACTCACTATCTATGTGCCACTGTTAAGCCCAATTACTCGCTCTAGTCGCTGCCGCTGCGCTGTCACTGCGCTCACACTATGCTCTGCTTGCTGTTGATACGTCCTAGTAGCTCGTGTCGCGCTCTCCAGCCGACCAAAATACGCTCATGTGACGTGACTTGCGCTGTATAAATACCACGACAAAACAGTCAATCCAATTCCAGTTTTAAAATTATTATACTAGTTCATCGCAGTCGAGTTACTTTCTCATGGAGACTGCATCGACTGCCTTGCGACTAGGCTGTGTCAATGCCACGTCAATGTCGCATGATTCATGCTCGCGAAGCACCGAAGTTACGTCATTACGGCACCCAGGCCAAAGCGCAGAGGTGTTGCAATTGTTTTGAGCATGTTCAAAAACTTTGGCGCGCATCTGAGACAATTAAGACCCTCTGGCGCCCATCTGGCGACCTATATAGTTCTCGCTGCGATCTAATAGTTGTTGCTGCGCCCCAGCTATTTTTCAAGGACGCAGTGAGAGCGCACATATGATCGCAGACAGTGTGACAGGGCCTTAACACTCAGGCAAACTTACTTTTGTCGGTGTACCAATTAATTAATGGTTCAGCTGGACTTACAGCCGACTCTTGACGTATTGTTAGAAAAAAAACTATATTTCAATAAAAAATTTTATTGAATTTAAGCTTATTATCTGTATTTTATTAAAATACAGATAATAAGCTTCAAAATGATATACATGTTTCTGTTTGATTTGTGGCATTTGGACCATTTTTGAAATGTTGGCATTGCAGGTGTATATAATTCTGTGGAATTGCCATTACTTTGGATGTGGCATTGTGGGATTGCCCACAGCCAGGACACTAGGGGGCGCTGTTGTTGATGTCTGACGCAGCTGGGTCAGCCTCTGATTGGTCAGTTTGAGCGTGCGCACCGAGGGCACAAAAGAGATGACATATTTCTGGATCAAATGAAGATTGTCCGGGCCGAGGAGGGCACAAAAGGGCAGGTTGAACATATAATCTGCAACAAAGCATAAAACAATCAAAAGTATGTCCGTGTTTCTAAGAAAGTTTCATTGTCACACAGTGTCATCCCTACAACCTCATTCTAATCAGTAATTCTTTCAGCATGTATATCTTTTTAATGACTTACAGTATAAAGCAGTGGTGCAGCAAAGTCATTTTGATATGGGGGGGGGGGTAGATATGAATAGAGCACTTGCCTCATCTGTGCTGAAAGGTGGATAAGCTTTTTTTCACAGGGGACCCGGTCTCCGGACAATAGATGGCACCTTTCATGGTGGCACAATTGCCGACAAGGCGTTGAATAAAAGACCAATTGTGAAAAAAAGGTGCTCCTGAAATAAAACCCTTTTTTTCACGTGTACCTTTTTTTTGCACGAGTGCCTCTTTTTTTAAGAGTGCCCTTTTTTCAGAAGTGCCCTTTTTTCACAAGGGCCCTTTTTCACAATGGGCACTCGTGAAAAAAAAGTGCTGGTGGAAAAAAGGGCAACTGTGAAAAAAAGGCACTCGTGAAAAAAGGGCACTTTAGTCCGAAGGTCGTTAGTCCTGAGGTTCATTAGTCTGAAGGCTCAATAGCCCTAAGGTTCCTTAGTCCAAAGGTTCAATAGTCCGAGGGTTCTTAGTCCGAAGGTTCCATAGCCTGAAGTGAACACAAGGTTCAAAAGTCCGAAGGTTCATTCATCTGAAAAACTATGGGACTATTGCACCTATATTATTTTATTTTCTCCATTTCCGCAAAACAAGGAGTGCCAGATTTTTTTATTCAAAACGTGAAAAAGTCGGAATTTGGGCTATAGCTGGAAAAGTGACATCCCTGTATGTCTGATGAAATTATACAAGTTTACCTTGCGGAATGAAGGTGATTCTTGGTACATCGGCCATCCCTTCCCTCCATTCTGGAAGAAAACTCTCAATTGGAGCGATGAAGATGTCGTAGTCCACCCTCAGCTTGTCCAAAGCTCTCTGCAGCCTGGGATCGGTGACAGGTTGCTTTGGCTTTGTCTCCTCTAGGCCACCGTAGACGTGGGCTAGCTTCTCTTGCCTGTACAGGCGATGGGGAATATCTCTTGCAGGAGAGTCTTCAATGTGGTCAGTCGAGGCCTCCGTACATTCGGTTTGATCTTTTGAGGCACACACATCAGGTTCTGTGTGAAATCATTCAGATGATCATACATAATTAAGGGAATACATATGTGCTGGCCGGTTTTAGACAAGTAAGTTTCAAACCAGGCCCTCAGCCAGGCCAGGCCCTCAGCCAATTTTAAACATACTTGTTTAATACCGGTGTGACATAATTCTGACCCCCCTGGTAATGTGTCCCCCCGGACAAATTTACCGGCTCATGACTTGGGTCACTCTCACCTATGATGTCACCTGAATGCCTATTCAATGCTAAATAACCCAGATTCAGCATGTCCGGGAGAGAGTGGCCAAAGTAAAATTTATACCCTTCCACTAAATCGATTGTATTTATGAAACTAGGGACCAAAATGGAATGGGATAAAAAGGAGTTAATTGAGAAATAGTCAGGCTTTAATGTAATATATATTTGTATAATTTCATTGAAAAAAAAAAAAAACATTGAACAGTTTTAATTATTTGTTTTCTGAATGTTGCACTGTTTTTGGCGCACTCTGTATAGCTTTTTGTCCATGAGAGTTGGATTGATCCTGAAGTTGATCACCATGCCAACAGAAAGAAACTTGGCAGTAACTCTCTCTGTGGACCAGACTGGACACCTTGGCTTCTCACAGGGGAGGGGGAGGGTCAATGGAGTTTAATGCCTCATTTCCTAATGGTTCTTGGTTTGTTCATCTCCTAAATACTCTGCGTGGGAGTCTATACAGGAGCCCAGAAACACCGGGGCAAACCCCTTCTCTTAGCGATAGGTGTCACTGGGTTCTTTGACGTGCATTGGATTACACAACACACGGGACCTACGGCTTTACGTCCCATCCGAAGGACGAAGCAATAGTGGTTAAGTGCCTTGCTTATGGGCACAAGTGTCCACCCGGCAGGCTCGAACCCACGCCACTGTTGCCTCTGAAACACCAGAGCATGAGTCCGGTACTCTTAACCGCTAGGCCATAACACTCCAAATTAATACGTCCATTGCAACTTTAAATACTTCCATTGCAACTTTAAAAGTCTTTCTTGTACCTTTTACATCTATGTTTTCCTTAACGCTCAGTTCCGCAAGTGAGCGGCACAGAGCGTTCACGTGTTTGTCATCCAAAATCGCCTCTTGCGTTTTCTTCTCCGAACTCAGCATTCCCTTTGCAAAGTGGACTTTCCAGTCGCCGTCTTTTACAGTAGCCCCTCCCCGATTGGTTGGATCTGAAGGAGGTACATTACGGATCTCCCCATTGGTTGGTTCTGTTGTTTCCCTGGCAACCACCCAGGAGTACAGCCATTTCTCGACGTCCCCCGCCGGGGTGAATTCGGTCACAATAGAGTAGATGACGAGAGTCGTGTTGAGTTCGCTGGCCGTTTGGAAGATATCTGACAGCGCCCTCTCTGTGAAGCGTTCCTCCAACATCGAAATGGTGCTTAGGTATGCAGAATCATTATTGAAATCACGAGGGCTGTGGAAAGAAAAATCATAAGCCTTAAATCAAGATACAACGTATGTGACGCGTTCTTGCAAACTACATGTAAAGCCTGCCGCACACGAGAGCTACGTGCTGAGCAAAAAGTCTCTCGAGGCCGTGTGCTCAACACGTAGCCGTGTGTGGTACATTTTTGCTACATTTTCTGCCTCGCGAGGCCAATATCTATCCTGTTTGATTTCTTTTGCCTCGCGAGGCAGATATCTCACCGTATGCGACAAACCTGAGCTATGTGATGAGCTAAAAAGATTAACTAACCAATGATAGCACATTATTCTTGTTTGTCGGTTGGTTGATTGAAAAAAAAAAGGGGGACAAATAAACGTCAGCAGACTTTAGAATATTTTCACAAAATATCTTAAAATCACGCGTACAAAGTACGTGATTTCATTTGCTAGTTAATCTTTTTAGCTCAGCACGTAGCTCAGATTCGCCACACACGGTGAGATTTTTGCCTCGCGAGGTGAAAGAAATCAAACAGGATTATATAGAAATTGGCCTCACGGCCTATTCCGAGACAAAAAATGCAGGAAAAATTCACCGCGCACGGTGAAATCCCCCAGAAGGGAGAATTTCAAGATTTGATTGTGAAAGCATGGACAAGGTGCAATGTTTAGAGCCATTTGTGATCGCTGTGAAACAGGGTCGTGCGATGTAGACTTTTCCCCGCAATACGTACAGCTCGTTCTTCCTTTGATTTAAGCTCTTGCTACGTTTTAATGGTATGTGAATTTGCTTCTATTTCAACCTTCGGGAAACTTCAAATTCCTTAAAATACCCAAATGAACATACAGTTACAGTATTTAGTGCACTAAAAAATATACTAGCATATTTCGTTTCAGAAGAAATGTTGGTATTTAAAAAGAAGTAACAAATGCACCTCGTTGAGGAAATGTAATTGGTGTACAAAATTGTAGACTGAGAAAAGTGTGGCCACTTAAGATTGAAAGCTTGTCAAAGTTTACTTCAAAAAAGCCCTCTGAAACAGTCAGAAAAAACTTAATTATGCCTAATGAATATTTATTAACCTTCCTGGTTCTAGCTCCTCCTGGTTCTGTTGGATCAAGTCGGCTAGCGCCCTCGCTCGTCCCTGCTCTGACAGCGCCAACGCCTCGCGGTATTTGCCCTTCCGTATGAGGATCGTCTGCAGAAGATTGAAGGCCTCCGATTGGTTCTTCTCAAAGTTGGCGATGCGCGAGGAGTCCTCTGCGCCAATCTTGGCCCGGATTCGCTCCAGAGTGAAGAACGCGTCTGTTATGTACTGCTCCGCCATGTCCAGATCCTGTTTTAAGAAAGCCAAATTGTCCGCCATGATGTAAACATAAATATATCATTTCTTTTTGACAATCACGAGACAACATCTTGTGATCAGAGATGTGATGCAACAAGGTGATTTTCTTGCAAAACTTTTGTCCAAATAAGTAGGACAAAATTTGTTGCATTTTCTGTGTTCTCAACAAATTTGATTTTTTTCTATTAATGAAATGTTCAACTTGTATGTTTTATTTCGACAAAAAAAACCTTTCCCTCAGAAATGAGGTTTTATATTTTGGAGACAAACAGATCCACTTTACAAGCAGGCTGACTTCCTGTTCTGATTGTGGGGAGGGGAACCAGCCAACCCCGTAAGAATGGGATTATATTCTGGTAGCCAAGAATTCAAAATTGTAAAGTCATATTTTAATAACTAAACATGGGCTGGTTTTTTCGTTCGATGTGTCATTCAAAAGTGAGTTAATGGGGTGCTGTGGTCCAATGGTTACGGTGTTCGACTCGTGTGCCGTGGTACATGGATTCAAATCCTGACCGTGGGAACATGGTGCTTGTGCTCTTGAGCAAGGCACTTTACCATTATTGCTTCATCCTTCCGATGGGACGTAAAGCTGCAGGTCCCGTGTGTTGTGTAATGCACGTTAAAGAACCCAGTAACACTTGTCGCTAAGAGAAGGGGTTTGCCCCGGTGTTTCTGGCAGTGGAAGCAATTATGCGCCGCAGCACCTAGCAAAAAAGTGCTATATAATGGGTCTCATATGTTCATATACATGTACTTCATTTACCAGTCTTTGGTTGCATTCTCCCCCAGTGCTTTGTATCCTCTGGCAAAAGGCGCTATATAAATACAGTTATTATTATTATTATTATTGTATTCCTAAAAAAAAAAGCAATCTAGTAAAGGAATCTATTTTTCGGGATGAAAGTTGAAAATAACACAGGGAACACAAACTTTAACATTTCGCTCGAAATAAAAAATAATAACAAAAACTTGTGTTTTTGTCACCAGCTTGAAGATAACCAAAAACACGCACCTCTTTAAACAAGTAGTCCATGGCTAGTTCTCGCTGCATAATGGCCACACCCCCGACGTCGTCGCGTTCCGCGGCATTTTTACGGTACTTTTCGTGATAAACTATGGCCTCATCAAACTTACCTGCAATTGAATCAAACATGTTTTCAAGTTCTATAGTTCAATGCTAATCCATATTACAGGTGAATATGAATGTTGCAATAAATTTAAACACGGATTAGCAATTGTTTCACGATAGAAAAAAATAAACCCTTATGGTTCTGTAAAGTTCTGTAAATGATGAGATCCTTTGGTACAATTGCAAATCTCTGCGTTGCACCTGGGCCAAAGCTCAAATACTACGTCTGTAAATTGATCAGCCGTTGATAAAATAGCAATCTTACTTTTGGCAAGTTTTCCTCGTTCCAACCAAAGGGTAATTTCATTATCACCTCAGAATTATGTTATTCACTGCCTGTGTACATGGTGTATGTTCAAAAGTACTTTTATGTATTGAAAAATATGAAACATAATTTTTCAGCCTGAAACGAAGTTTAGGATTTTTGAAAACAGAATTTGCAGTTTTCTAAAACGGAAAATCATTGGTCCTACAATACTATGATGTTACAAACTGGTGACTGAAATCAGCAATTGTATGACAGAAGTTAGCAGGGTTCCTCATTCTTACCCATGGCCCGGTAGACAGTGCCAATGTTCCCATAGGCTATTCCCAGCCCGCGATGGTTGCCTATCTTACTGTGTACTTCCAAACACTCCTCAAGCAACAAAATGGCCGATTCGTAGTCTCTCAGAGCTGAGGAGGAAACAGGTTGACAGAATGGTTGATATTAAACATATCGTAATTGGCCCGTTTCTAGGGCCTCAAGTCTGGTCAACAATGTCGAGTTGAGTCATAATGTCTGCTTGCATCAATTCAAGTGGCAAGCATTTGAACAACTGGTTATACTTGTATGTGCCCTCCAAGCACACGCCAGCTAGCTTACAGATTGACAACATGAAGTAGTCCCTTCTAACACGGATCCTCTACACAAGGATAAACAACTTATCTGAGCTTGTGTACAAAATCCACGGAACAGATTGTCTTTTCATAAGAGACTCGAATCGAGTTGAGTCAAGTCGAGTCATTTTGCTGTTACGACTGAAATCGAGTTGAGTCTTCAAAAACTGAGACTCAATTCAGACTTGAGTTGAGTCACCGACTCTTCAAATTAGGTTTTGCCCTTCACTGGTGTATAAACACTGTATACTCAGTGTGTTACCTCCCGAGTGAAAGTTGGAAAAAATCACTCGGGTAGGACTCAAACCCACGACCTCCTGCTTTCTAGTGCAGACGTCTTACCACTCGACCACCGAGCTAACGGGATCGGTTGGCTGGTTCGAATCTGATGTACATAGCAGCGGGTACCGCATTAACCATTATAAGACGTAACACAATGAGTATACAGTGTTTATACGTCGGTGAAGGGCAAAACCTAATTTGATTTACATCACCCCGACGCAAAATTCCATCTTATCACTGACTCTTGTCATTATAACTCCATATATCCCAACAGCTGGAATGCAAACCTGTGTAGATCTTTCCGAGGGCATTCAGCGCTCGTGATTTCATGGCTAGGTACCCGATTCGTTCAGCTAGCTCCAGGTGAATGGAATGGTAGATCAACGCTATGTCATAGTCTGGTGGTTTCATGGAGTAATGGGTGAAACCGATGTTGAAACATGACACGCACAGAGCCGCCTGATCACCTAATGAAAACATCAATAAAAACAAAAATGTCTGTTGAAGACCGGTTTGAGTCTGGACGCTGATAATTACCCAAGCCAAAATAGGAATGGGTAAACTGTCTTAGGTGTTTATGAATACGTGGTTTAATCATTTGCAGCCATCCGAAAAGTAACTGGCGTAATAACTGTTGAAAAACAAACTTGGTTGAAAGATAGTAAGGGAACTAAACTCCCTGTGAAATTATTCTTTCTGGGAAGCTGTCATTTTGAAGTAATCAACAAAAGAAGGCATTTCCAACGGTGATTCATAAGAAGCACCGTAGGATAATTTAAATTAGTAGTTCGTTTTGTTATTCAGCGCATCGCGCACAAGTATTGGAACGACGCACACGCGCGCGCGGTTGTTATAATTCGTCGGATCAGTGCGCTACGTCGCGTATAGCTGCAATTCAAAACAATTCAAAACATGATTCAGTAACTTTTGATTTGAAATTGAGATCTTAGAATGCTGTTTTTCTCGGAATATACAGCTGAAGCTTAGCTGAAACTTCATCAAGTTAGTTGCTCAGTATCCTTCATTAGATTTTGAACTCTTTTGTTGCTTCAAACGAACAAAATGCACAAATTACAAATGATGGACTGTAGCTTTAAGGTATGTAAAGATCATTTGCAGGTGTCGCAATTTCATGAAATAGAAGAGCTGTTAATATATATCAAACAGTGTTCCACTGAGCTGTTCAATGTTTTGTGTCATTTAGTGCTGGAAAAGTATCAAAGAAAACCTTTTCTTATTCAAACGTCAAAGTGCAGTTCACGGAATCTGTCATGCATAGGAACTATAGGTCGCAGCGAGCTGGCTCGCGGCCATAGCAGTTCCATTCCATGGTGAATAGAAGTTGAATTGCACAGCCACACTATTGGTGGCTCTGACAAATAGATGACAAAAATGTATTCAGGTGTTGTATAAAACAAATAATACATTTTTCAAATTAGTGCAATGGAAATTCATTTGGTAACAGATGGATTGTTCCATTCCAATAGAACATTTCATCTGTCGCCTCATGAAATTATTCTTACTACTGTACTCACAAACATTCATTATTTGTATAATATTTGGCAGTTTCATTTTACGGTTTGATAATTATCCTTCCTCTAAATAAAACCTCTTAGAAGCCTGGCCGCCGATGATTGTGCTTGCCAATTAAGACTGAGGCGATTATCAGCGATTGGATATGGGCTTAAAGCTAGAAATGTTTTAGAAATGCTGGACGGACATTTGAACGAAAAGTGCTCACCCCTTCCACTGGCAAACACAAACTGTTTTTTCTGGTAGAGCAAAGCGTCGCTCGTCCTTCCCTCCGACCGGAATATGGTACCCAGGTCGCCTTGACGATCGGCCACGGCAATGGGGTCATTGAGTCGCTCGGCGATGGCAATGGCTTCTCTCATGTATTCTTTCGCTGGTCCCCAGTCTGCCGCCGCCCTTAAAAACAAAAATCGTGAGGATAAAAAAGACCACTCAGCTAACTGTGTGTTTTTATTTTCCTTATAAATATAATCATCTTCTGAAAGCATTCAAAACGGTTTCATGTCTTGGATTCAAGCTGAAGATGAAAAGATGAAGAACTGTACTCAAATTCCATCCTCTGCTTACAATCAGGGGAGAATCTCTCCTAATCATTACAGAAAATTCTTGGCTTACAACTCAAATTAGGTTTTGCCCTTCACCGACGTATAAACACTGTATACTCAGTATGTTACCTCCCCGAGTTAAATTTGGAAAAAATAACTTGGTTGGCACTCAAACCCACGACCTCCTGCTTTCAAGCTAACGGGATCGGTTGGCCAGTCGAATCTGGTTCGAAGCTTCTTGGCTTACAGTTACAGTTATAGCCAAGGGTTAAGCAAGGAAGTTTGGCTAGTGCACATATGTGTACTTGCCATACATTAACCCTAACTTACTTTTACTGAAGTAGAAGACCATATCCGTCAAAATCCATCACTCATGCTGCTTCACATAATTCTTCAGGACCAAATCCGTTGAAAACCACCACTGGTGCTGGTGGATTTTGATGGACTAACATGTGATTGGTACACATGGCTACACAGGGTGGTTAAAAAAAAACCCGAGACATCATTGCTAATTGGAACAGAAGTAGGGCACATGTAAATCAAAGGGAGATATCCTCTGTTAGGGTTGAATCTTCTCTTTAATATGACACCCTGATCATGTCCTTACATTCACGGTTGACTGAGCAGTGACCAATTTTATGAAAGAGTCTATTTAGAGAATTGCGCCACTTTTCATGGTGAAATCTCTTTTTTCCCCACCTGCCTTGATTGGCAACCATAGCCTTTCACTCTGTGACAAATGACACAACAAGAACCACAACTGAAAAGTGGCGCAACTCTCTAAATGGACCCCTCCATAAAACTGGTCACAGCTCAGTCAACCGTGAATGTAATTACATGATCAGGGTGTCATTTTAAAGAGGAGATTCAACCCTAATAGAGGATATCTCCCTTTGATTCACATGTGCCCTACTTTATTAGCAATAATATCTTGGTTTCGTTTTTCTGCCAAAATCCCCAAAATGGGGGGATGGATTTTGATGGCAAATAACATGTAAGGATTAGGTCCTTACCTGGCAGCATTCCCAAATGCCTGAAGCAGAATGCCCCGGTTCCGGTCGCTCATGTTCCGTTTCAGCAGCGGCTGGAACACCTGACTGATTGCGTCCTTCAGATGACCGCTCGCCAGAATCCACTCGCCGTGGTGAATGGTCGCCGTGGTAATCTTGTCCGTGTCATCCATCGCCACGGCAACTGCCATGGCCTCGTCCAGATGGATCTTGGCATCGCCCATGTTGCCCAGGAAACGGTGAGCGTTGCCGAGGTCCAGGGCTGCCTGGAAACGCATCTCGTTGATTTCTGGCGAGGACGTGCTCACCTGGGGATCAACGTTCCCTGTTCCCGTGGCTGATGATCTGTTGCCTATTTGTGACAGTGACACAGTTTTTACGACACGGTATTCCTGTTTTGCTGCTTCTTGACCCTCACTGAGTGGACCCAGTGACATGTAGACCAGGTACAGCAGGCGATAGCACAGCATTTGCTGTTAACAAACACAAAATGGCCTTGTTATAAGATTTGCAAACGTCTGTCCCCCAATTCATTTCTCACACACCATGAAGTAGCACTCATGCACATACCACTACCAGTAAAAAAAAGCAATTGAAGAAAACGGCATCTAAAGTTGAACGCCTTCCAGAACAACACTTTCCTTCAAAACTGCAGGGTATTTTCGGGTGTTTCTTGTTGTGGACACTTGATGTATTGAATTATATTAATTTGATATTTTTAATCTGTTTGTATAATAAATCATCAAGCAATAAGAGATTAAAGGTGAGTGCTAGTTCGTGAAACAAAAAAAGCTGCGAAACTATAAATTTGTGTTTTCAAGGAGTAGTATCCTTCAGTGTATTACAACACTACGTGATGCTTAAAGTAAATTTAGCCCTTGAAGCTATGAAACTTCAAGCAATGGTAGGTCTTGATGAATAATGTTGAAAAATGTAAAAGAAAAAAATAAGGTTTAAAACGTGGAGTGCTACTTCGTGGTGTCGGTGACGATATGGCTTTTTGTGACAATTGGTAAGTTGATGTAAACAAAATAGACTGACGAACATCAAACGCTGATGTCATGGGTAATTCATAATGGCAAAGGATTGTTTGCTTTTTAAAATTAAGAATGTTCAAACTGTAACCCATTGAAGTTTCAGCACAGTAGATGTTACCCTTTACAAGAAAACAGTGGAAAAACCATGCACAACCTTTTGATCACGAAACATGATTCCATCCATATGAGCACTTTGCATTTTCAAAAATCAGTCAAAGCCAACTGATTGTTGAAAATCTCCCACATTTTTTGATTTCTTCTAAATGACAGCAAGCCAGACAAAATAATTTCATGGGTTGTTTAGCTTTGACCCAAGAACGCTTACTTGGAAGTTCATTTTTTGGAAATGCAAATGATCCTTAATTATATCCTGGAATGCGCCCAATTGGGCTGCAAAATGTGTTTTAAATAAAATTATGTTCTTGGAAAGAGTACTAAGAAAAGTAGGATATAAACTTCCAAACAACCATTCTTTAAAACATCCTTATATCCTGAGGTGAGGTCAGGTGCAGTCAGAGCTTAAAGCAGTAAGAAAATCTCAACTAACTTGTCCAATTTTATCGGACACCCTTACCTGTTTGACAGTCAAAGCTGGTGATGTTAAGGTCTGTTTTAGCAGCGCTGCTGTGGCAGGAAGGTTGGTGGACAGTAAGTTATGAGCTTCTGAAATTCTCTCATCTGAAAAACACAATAATGAAGCGAGATCACATCATTCAGTTTCGGGAGCCCAATGGCCAGAGATTTAGGACTCGCAACTTGAACTCGGACTCGAGGCTAACTCAGTCACATTATTGGACTCGGACTCCAGTCTCTGTTAACAATGACTCAGACTCGGACTGGACATTTCAACCTCCGACTTAGGACCCAGACTCAACATTAGCGGCTCGAACTCCATGACAAAATTACAAATACCGGTATGCTTGCTAGCTATTTTAAATGGAAAAATCAAAGATTTATTTTTTTGCAAAATAAATTTCATCGAAAAATGACAAATTTTATATTAAATTGTGCCTGCATCAACCTTCTCCAGAAGTTGCACAAATATTGCAACACTACTGTATGTTTTTGTCGTGTCAGGTTGTTTTCTGGACTGAGACTCAGTCTCAGACTCGGTATTCTTAACTACGGACTCTGATCCCGACTCGACCCAAATGAATCAGGACCCGGACTCAACACTGAGGACTTGAACTCAATTACAGGTCTGTCATACCCTAGAACTATGGCCGCTCTGCGGAGCATATAGTTCTAGGGGTAGGTCTGCCACAGGCACGTGGTCACTTACTGACAGAGAGTGTTTCGTAATTCTTCGCCCTTCTGCAAGGAGATGCTCTCGCTGCACACCAGCATCCACCATCACTGTGTCTGGTTGTTTTCTGGGTTTTTTTTAGAGTGACTTATGACACGGTCTCAGACTCAGTATTTGTGACTACGGATACGGACTCGACCCAAATGACTTGGACTCTGACTCAACACTGAGGACTCGGACTCAAATTTAATACAAGTCTGCCATGGGCACATAAGCACCGTCGATATATCGATATTACTCTATTATTCTATATTATTTTGAAAATTTTCGATACTGAGGAATGATATCGTCAAAATAAATTTCCCGTTTGTGCATTTACTTTGTGTTTAACGTTTGCTGTATAATGAAATAAAACTCGGCAGCAACTTAATTGTGCTTGTTACTCAAAATGAAAACATCACAAAGTACCAAGTGGCATCGCTTTGTGCTCTGCATTCACTGGAATTCGCGGTCTCCTCAATGTAAAACCTCAAAACAAACCACCCGTTCTGGACAAACTGTCATGTGCTGAGATTTGTTTTAAAAAGTTTGAGCAATAAGCTCCAGAGAAAGCAGTGGACAATTGGGACTTAAGATTGTGGGAGGTATTTTTTTTTTAATCAAACTGTCATTTTTATGGTCTTTTAGGGATAATTGATACATCGAATATTCTCGATATTGGATTCTGATATATCGATTATTGAAATTTCCAATATCGACGGTGCTTATGGGCACACATGGTCGCTTACCAACGGAGAGCGTTTCATAATTCTCTGCCCGGAACTCTGCAAGGAGACGCTGTTGTTGCTTTTCAACGTCCACCATGAGTTCCTCTATCCTCTCCCTGTGTGCTGCCTTCAGAGAGAGTTTGGGGATGTACGTGTATGACGATGCCGCCATGTTGGAGCTACCGTCACGCTTGCCGATGTGGAACGTGTGAGTTTTGATTATGCCAGCTAGCAGGGATATGCAAAGGATGATATGTAGCTTGGAAGCGGATGATGACATTGGACACTCATCTGGAATAAATTTTAAACAGGCCGGAAGTGTCATGGCCAAGCAGTTAAGAACACGGCGCCGGACTCATGCTCTGGTGTTTCAGAGGCAGCAGAATGTGGGTTCTAGCCTGGGTCTGGACACTTGTGCCCTTAAGCAAGGCACTTAACCATTATTGCTTTGTCCTTCGGATGGGACATAAAGCCGTAGGTCCCGTGTGTTGTGTAAGTGCACGCACAATAACCCAGTAGGCCCAACACTTATCGCTAAGAGATGGGGTTTGCCCCGGGGTTTCTGGCCTCCTGTTAAACTCCCCTACGGAGTCCTTAGGAGAAGAACCAACCAAGTACCAAGTATTTACATGTAGTCAGAATGACAAATCTATTTTTTTAGCTAAAAGGGGCAACATTAAATGCTTTTGCATGAGTGTTTGTAACTGTAATGGGTAATTCCATACAAAAGTGGCCACAGCTGGAAAGTGGAAAATGTATGAAATCTTCCAAACTAGCATCACAACCGCAAATGCATGACTTCTCATTTAAATGAATAAAAGGGACATGGCATTAATGGTATAGTTAAGTGTAATTTCTGTTAAAGAACCCTGCTTTTTTGGGCTAAAATCATGAACTTTGGTAGTCATTTTGGCACCTTGTTTTAACATGCAAAATGCGAGTGTTATTGTGGGCGGGCCATCACCGCGTTATGGGGACGTTTTTCATTAATTGTTAGGGTAATTAGGACTGAGTTGTAAGGACTTACTGCTGTCCCCACAGCATCTTTGGTCGCCATTGGTACAACTTGTGTGTATAATCCCCCCAGTTATAGAACAATTATGAGAAAAGATTTCATTTTGTTGCAGTATGTCAGATTTTATGCCGTGTTAGAAACCATATAAGAGGAATTAATGTGAGTGACGTACTGTATGAGTGCAGTACGGTACCTATTGTAATCTAATGTCCCTTGTATCTAACACATAGACACACACTGAAAGCTGATTTGATTCAAAATGGGTTTTTATAGAGAGCTATTGGTTGAATGAAAGGTAAAACAAGTTAACCAACATTACTTCTGCATTGCAGACTATAGTTTGAGGAGACCTTAACAACAGAATTGCTGGGAAATCTTCCATGTCTTCTTTTTTGTAATGAGAGTGATGAACAACAAAACACACGTTTTCAAGAAGTGATTAAATGGATTGAATTTTTCTTTCCAATTACACAACAAGTCCCCCTTAACCCAAGGTTGTTGTATGGCTGGGGGGATTCAGCTTGATCAAATAAGTTTTTTAAAGCAGTGAGAGGTCAAAGAAGCATGGCATGCGATAGCCCCATAAATGTGGCCAATTTACTGGCCTACCTCCGTAAATAAAGGCCACAAAGCTGCACTTCCACCATGATGTACAAAAACATGTCAAACTTTGTCGAATTTTGATTTTCACATTTAGGCTTTTCTAGGTTTTTTTTTGCTTTAGAAGCATACTCACCCTCTTTACAAGTGCTGCCTTTTTCAGATGTCTAATTTTCGTGAAATTTCATGTTGAAATTTTGATACACAAACGGGTGCAAACGAATCTGTAAATTTCACGAAAAATAGACATCTGAAAAAGGCAGCACTTTCTGATTATAGGCCCAAAACAAAAAGTCTCCGGTTTCTGGTATGCGCGCGCTTCGCCATAGCCATGCACATCGGCAAAATGAAAAAGTTTTTTTTTCAATGAAAAATGATGTCTCAAAACCGCCAAACTCACTGGTTTGACTGGAATCCTGCTGCTGCACAATTTTAACGTGTTTTTAGATTGGGTTATGGTCGAGAATAAGCTTTATGTGGCCTCTCTGGGCTCCCATATATTTGCACTAAGTTTAGTCAGGCACCATTTGCAGTCATCAGCCGACATTTGAAGCAAAAAATCAGGTAAAAAAAAAAAAAAGCCGCGTCGCCGCACCACTTTTTGGGCAAACTCCATACCAGAAGCCGAAGAAATTTTGTTTGGCCTTTGCCTATAAAGGCAGTGAGAATGATTCTAAAGCAAAAAAAAAACCCTACAAACTAAGTCCAAATGTGAAAATCCAAATTTGACAAAGTTCGACATATTTTTGTACATGGTGGAAGTGTGGCCTTTATTTAAGGAGGTAGTCTGGTAAATTGGCCACATTTATGGGGCTAGGCATGCGAGTGACGGTGGAATCAGTTTTTTATTAGGAAATCACGTTCTGGAAACAAGGCTAGATTTCTCAGCGTGCATGTGCTGATCCCACTTCCTGTTTCCTAAAATCATTCAGAGAATTTTGGAGAAAAATTCCTCAACTCTGCCAGCTGTTACTTTGGATGAGTTCCAAATACAGAGGGGTCCTAAAAGTAACTACTGCCCTTCTGATTTTTAAGCTTTGCATTTTTTTGGAGGGGCCAACGTGCTCCTTATTTGATTTCTGAAAGGAAAAATAGCCTATATTTTTACAAATTAATTGAATCATAATTACTTTATTAAACGATAAACTAAGCCTTATTTATCAAATTTAACTAAATCATTAACATTGTAATTAGCTGAAACAAAATTGTAAAACAAATTGTTTAGAACTTCTTACTTCTAGAATTAGAAAATTGTGAGGGAGTTTAATTTCAAATTAAACTCCCTCACAATTTTTTCCACTTGTTTAAAAACAAAGTGAAATGTATTTAATTTTTATCATACAAAGTTTAATGTATCATTTTTATATCAACAAAACATAAAGTTTAAAATCAATCACAAGCTGAAATTAAGTTGTAACGGATTTATATTATAATAGTACCTGACTTTGTCAGACCATACATGACTACTTGCTAGTCCGAGAGTAACTGACCAGACCATGTCCGAATGTTAAAGAGGCGATAAGTTGGGTCCAAGTTACTCGGACTACTAGCCCGTGATTCAGCCCCACTAGTGTGGCCGTCGGTATGCTGCGCACCGATGGCCACACTAGTGGGGCTACTCGGACTACCTACTTGCCAGACCTACATTCATGCAGTGGCGTCACCAGACTTTTCAGTCTGGGGGGGCACGGGGGGGGGGGCACCAGCATTTGATGGGGGGGGGGGGGCACTTAGGTGGATACGGATCGCCGTCCTGGGGGAGGGGTCTAAGGGGAGGGGGTGCCCCCCTCCCCTTTGGAAAATTTTCACATACGGAGGATGGGCTAGATGCAAAATGGTGCCACATTTGATGCTAAATTCGATCTGAAGATATCTCCAGAAATTGCTATTTAACCAACTCAGATGATGGGAGTTGAATATAACAAAATATATATATATTTTTTTACCAACCCAAATCTCAGATGGGGGGGCACTCGGGGGGGCACTAGGTTTTCCAGGGGGGGCACGTGCCCCCCCTGGCCCCCCCTTGGCGACGCCACTGCATTCATGATGTTAAACCAAGTCTAGTCTCACACATCCGGCATTTTTTCAGCAAATTATTGAATTTGCTGAAAAATTTGTAGTTGGGTACGCGGTAGTCCGAGTAACTTGGACCCAACTTATCGCCATTTTTAACGCCAGACCATGTCCAAAATGTTAAAAAAGGCAATAAGTTGGGTCCAAGCTACTCGGACTAGGTACGCGGCCACTATATGGGGAGTACGGGATTGGAGATATAAAGACGATTTGTCAATTGTAAAGAAATTCTTAAATACTAACAAAGTAACATGACTAAGGGATTTTCCAAGATTTGTAACACTATTTTATAAGTAACATGATTGCAGTTAGACCCGTGAACGTGGCTTGTAAACTACGTCACGTTCACGGGTCTAGATTGCAGTTTGCACTCGGCCGATTTTGTGCCCAAATTCCGGACGCCACTGTTTGGATTTTCGGCCTTTGCCGCTCACACTACAGTTTACACGCCCAGCTTTTGAGTGATACTGGCATCTCTTTACTCTGCTTGGTTTTGAAATCAAAACATCAAAAGTAACAACAAATACATGCCTGCAGGCTGCAACAACAAGTGCAAGATTAAGAAGGCAACATCCGCTGCATGCATGTAGTCATGAGTCATCGTTTGGGTGCGCTCCAATGTTTGTTCCCGGGAATTTTTAAAAGTCGGTGCCCATATCCGTCACTGCAATACACGTGCGTTATACGTCGTCTGGGGCACGTACTTGTGGCCACGTGTTTTCACTGTTTTGGGAAACAACGCGTCTATTTTTAACTTCCGAGGAATTCCCCTCAAGTACGGGGGGAGCGCATACCTATTTCCAAACTCTTATTTTACCGCCCGCTTTACTTCTAAGTACCTAATTATAAAAAAAATTCAAGCCAATATATTGTAAAATGCATACTTTTGTAACCGTTTAATGGATTATTAAATTATTTTAGCAAATTAAAATAGGGAAATATAAACAGTGAAATTTAGTAAAGTGTCCCCGAAATTGTTTGGGGAGTTTCGCAATCGTTCAAAACATAATAAACATAAGTAGGTAGACGGGATGCGAGAAGCACGTCAGAGTACATGTACGTGTGTTTACGTCTTGCGTATTTGTCAGCTTTGTTTCTTTCCGATTTGAGAGCATCTTCAATTTCTATTCAGCCTTTTTTGCTTAACTCGGTCAGGAAAACTTGAGAGAGTTGCGAGAGATCATCCTTCATAATATACGCCCAAACCATTATTGTCTTTCGCTGGAGTGTACGTAGTGGCCAAAACTGCCATAAGAAAAGCCATTGATTTAATCCACGGCAACCGCAGGTAAGCATCAAGTGGATAATGTGATGCCACAGGAAAAAGGAAGTTTCCGCTTGTGTAGATTATGTAGATGCAAGAGCATAATCTTTCGGTTTAAACAATAGAATGTTGCAACCTGACGCCACTTCAGCAGTTGTGACAAATTAAGTCTATGGAGAGTCAAGAAAAGTTTCTAAGCATTTAATTCTCCTAGCCCAGGTTGGACGAAGTCTTCATTGCATTACGACTGACGTCCAGGATGAGAATTCTCTAAATAAGACCACCCAAAATTTGGACCAGATTTTTGTTACGTTTTACCTCGTTACAGAAGCTTATTTCACGCCTACATTTTCTATGTGTCCTTCTCTATTGATCCAGGGGTTCAGGAATTCCATATGTGATGCTGACCGACATTAATCAGGAAATTAAACTCTAAAGCAACGTTAAACTTGTACGTGTTTGTAGTCTCTTTTCATCAGTTTTATTCCCGAGTCGTACGTCATGTACGTGCGCACGAAAGCGCGCACGCACGCTAGCGCCCTCATTTGTTTAGTTTTGGTTGGAACAGTGACGTCACTCCAGCCAACCGACGTCACGAAAACGCTCAACCAATGACCAAAGCCGAAACATGTTTCTGGTAACTGGCGCGAAAACACGCTCGGTCATTGGATTAGCGACCGCACCTTCAAGTAAGTGCGCGTGCGTATGAGGATGGTTACAAACCAAATCGTGCGGCGCACTGCATTTTCACGCTGCATAGTCTGGCTCCCAGACCAGACGTGATATGAGCGCCGAGAATAATTGTCGGGTCTAGGGAACCAGACTACACGCTGCAATGACGTACGTCATGTACGACTAGAATTGACTCGGCGGTGAGAAACTGATGAAAAGAGTCTACAAACACGTACAAGTTTAACGTTGCTTTAGAGTTTATTTTCCTGATTAAGGTCGGTCAGCATCGCATATGGAATTCCTGAACCCAGCGGCCCAATAGATAAGGACACATAAAATACTACGACGTAAAAATTGGCTTCTCCAACAAGGTAAAAATATTGAAAACATTGGTCATAAATTTTTTCGCCCGGTTTTGAGCACTTCATATACCCTGGACTCCCTCCGTTACGTTACGGGAGGAAAGGGAGTCCACCTGGGCTAGAGGTCATGGGTTTGAGTCCCACCCGAGTGTTTTTTTCCAACTTTCACTCCGGAGGTAACACACTGACTGAGTATACAGTGTCTATACATCGGTGAAGAGCTCCCTCCCCCCCCCCCCCCCAAAAAAAATACTAATATGAAGTTTATTATTGTCATTCAGTAGTACTAGAAGACCATCATCTGAGCGAGTATGGCAAATCCAGCCATCACAAACTACCGGTCCCTACTCAGAGACGTCGCCAGTGGCCTCAGCAAAAAAGACGTTGAAGAGATGGCGTACACCCTCGGGTTTGATGCAGCAGCAGACATCACTTCCGGTACCCACCTGCTGCGGGAGATGGAGAGACAGGACAAACTGGACGAAGACAACTTGGATGATTTGAAGAGGCTACTGGAGGATCATAAACGCAACCGACTCGCTAAGAAGGTGCAGGAGTTTCAGGCAGCACAGAAATCAGGTTTGTTCCTAGTTTTTTATTAAGTGCTTTGTGTGTGCACGGCTATTTTGAAGTTGATGGCTGACTGGTAACGTAATTGTTGAAGGAGTGGAGAGGCATGTGTATTTGCGTTTTGAAGATGGCTATATACGAGTGGCACTGCATGTTTTGAAGCTGCTGGAAGCAGTCCGCATCGACTTGTTTAATATGTTTGCAATGACAAACAAAACTTAGTGTACAAAATCTCCATAGGGTTGTCTAAGGGGCGTGGCTAACTCGAAAACGGCGATAGGTCAATTGAGTGTTTTCTCCCCTTTTTGTATCTTATAGCTATGGAGGAACCATTGAGCAAGACTTGGCCGACCTCCACTTTCAACCAGCAGAAGGCACCAGCTGCAGACAAGCCAAGAACCCAGAGTATTACCACAGAGCCAGCGATGAATGGTACGGTAATTACTCCATGCATGCATGAAGAGTATAGATAGCGCTTTGGAGTGCTCCAGTGAGGGAACACACCATGTACAGATACCGGTTCCTGCAGATGTGTGGAGCTCTGAACAAAAGATGTGCACATACATACATGTAGTGCAGCACCCGATTTCATGAAACTCATCATAAATATGATGCATCGCAGGGCTGCGACGCGTTGTATCCCTGCAATGCATTGCAGCTGCAACGCGTCCTGCAATTCTTTCACAAAACATGTTGTATTATTAAAAGTGCAACGCATCGTAGGTGAAATCGTAGCACAAAACTGTGACTGTTATAATTATGTATTCATTCGGCGTACGGTAAACAGTCGTCTGATACTCAGCAAAGAGTCATTTGATCTCCTCTCAAAAGTTTTTAAAACGTAAAACAAAATGGCGAACATATGATGCAGTTTTAAAGAAAAACAAGCTCACGGTGGACTGTATACAAAAATGTAGCTTCTTTGAAATTTCAACTGCAATTTTCCAGGCTAAGTTCAGGGCTTGAATTGAACGACGGCCACGACGGCCAGTGCCGTCGTTGCCTTCTGACTGGCCGAGGTGCCCCACAAAAAATCCCTGTCTTCACGACCAGTTTTGCCTTGCCCCATAATTACCTTGGCCGTCGTGCCCTTTTTGCAAAAACATCTATCAGCCTATTAAAACCACTACAATCCTTGATTCCAGTTGTTTTTCCACACATTGACAATGTATTTCAATGTCATGCCAGCCCGATCAGTTGTCTTAATATCTCGCTGACTCAATCACACGCGCGCGGTACGGCCGGCCGTGGCCGGCTGGCCAAACACCGGCGATTCCCCACTGTATGTATGATGTACACACACGTACACGTACACTGACAACTGAATCTCCAGTTCCTGTATGTGCCGATACTTCAAGTAGCGACACCCCCGCCGCAAAAATATATGTCTGTATTCGTACACACACATACCAGCAGGAGTAAGTACGGCAGATCTTACGAGCAGTCAACAGACTTTCTTTTTCTCAGTGCTTGCATGCGCGGTACATACAGAACACATTGATGTTCGTGTACGAGGCAAACGAGCTCGGGGCATAGTAAAAACACGCGTGCACATGGCGTTCCGAATTCCGATTGTCAAAAGCGGACATTGTAAATGGCGATCATCTATTAATTATGGGCCCGATTCCCTAAGAGAACAAAATAAACTTTTAAGCCACATTAAGAACATGCAGGTAGGTTATAGATAGAGGGAAGGGTTTTGAATTTTTGAGGGGAATTTGGAGGGAAAACGACAACGCAAAAACGCAACACGAAAATAGAGATGGCGATCGCACGTCACCAACCATAAAACCGCTTACAAAAAACGTAATTTCTATCCCCCAAAAGAGTTCAAAATTACAAAACAGGTGCCATATAAGCTGAGAGAAGTCTGCTTTAGGTTGAAAAGGTAATTTTTTGAATGATAGAAACACCTTTGACTCAAATTTGATCGAAACTAAAGAGGGGCCATAAACTACATGATCGCCGATATAAATTCGCATTTTTTTTTACCGGCCGGCCTCTGTGCCCCTTCTGCAGATATTAGTTTGGCCTTGGGGCCCTCCCAACTGGCCTTGGTGCCCTCTATAATTTTGCTCCATTCAAGGCCAAAGTGGCCTTGCCCTAAAAATTCCCAAATTCAAGGCCTGTAAGTCATATTTACTAATGAGCCCTTGATAGTTATAAAATACGTGCTGCAAAATGTTCCAGCAGCCCATAATATTGATCGCTTTCATGCAAAACTTAACCATGTTAAGCGACGCTCGCGTGCAACCTTTGACTGGCGCAGCACCCAGTTGCAGCTGGTGCATGTAAAACTTGATCGGGTAGTTTGGAATATTCGAATATTCGAATAATCTATACCGATACTAAATTATTCCCAAGCCCCGAGCATCAGACCTTCTGATCCTCGGACATGGTACACGGTGCCGGCAATATCGCGCCCTGTTCCATGTCCACTTTGTGAGCCTGAACTATATAGGCCCATATCCTGAACTTACCCATGGAAATAGTTGTCTCTCAGTCATATGCACCGTATACAGTGAACACTCCTAAAGTGACCTACTGGTAGACCTTCACTTTATAGACTGTGCGTGATAGAACATTTTTCTTTGGTTTCTGGTTTTTGCAAGGTGGCTTATCCGACCCAACTTGACCCGAAAATCGCCCAAAAATGCACAACCGACCTGACTGAAATGGTGGAAAAACCAACCCCATCCGAACCAAAGTCGGTTTTAGGTCGGGTCAGTTTTGGATCCGATTTGCACAACACCAATCGGAAAGAGAAGTGCTGTACATGTATATGTTGCAATGAGAGTATTATAAAAGTTCAGCATCCACCCAACTACAGCCTTCATCAAGTTGTAGCATGACCTTGTGATTTCTTTCACTTTGGTATGAAAATCTTATTTGTTTTTGTCTTTTATTTTGTAGCTCAAGCAGTACCACCGTTTCCAGCAGGTATGCAGCATTATTACCCAACTCCACAAGGAGTGGCATCCCTGAGTTACCAAAGCCCTATGAGCATGCAGCAACAAGTATCGGTAGATCAGTACGCGGTATATCCTCAACCATTACTGCAATCACATCCAGGGGAGGGACACCCTATGCAAGACCGTAATCCAACACATCAACCAGTCCAAATGGCCAATCATTACTATCAAGCTTCGCAGACTGGCAATCCATATCAGCAAGGTTTGAGTACCCCCGGTTATGCTCCCTGTGTGAACGGAGGCAGCGTCCAGCAAATGCCCAATGACCAAGACCTCCAAAACACGATCCAGCAACTTCAGGAAAAGCTCCGGCTCCAAACCCTACTACAGAACAGTGGTAACCAAGCCCCAACAGCAGTACAGTACACAGGCACTCCCGGTAGCCAGCCAAATATTGGAACCCCGCAAGCAGAACCCCGCTCGCGAATCCAGTCCTATCCGCAAGCATCCGGAGTACCCCAGGTGCAAGGCTACATGCCCAACAATGCCCCACCCGGTCATGCCAAGGTCTCTGCCATCAAATCAGCCCCGTGTGCGATGTCTGCGGCCGGCCAGAATCTCCAAAATTTCTCCCCAAATGTCACGGAGCCAGAGGCAAGTTTGAAGGGACCCCACCAGTCTCACCCTAAGATAGAAAACCAGACCTGGAACATACCCGTTGAGAATGTTGCTGGTGAAGGCATGCCCAAGGTAAACGGACAGCAGATGGAAAAAGGCAACGTCATGACCGGGACTTCGAGCATTGGAGGACAGTCTCCTTCAAGTGGTAAGACTTGCTTGAGAATTGTTTGGCATATCTTTTACTCAATGTTTAGCTGCACAGAAAATTAGATGAATCCAGGCATGTGATCTCAGCACACACTTGAGGCCCTTTCAATTGTGAAAGCATTGTCCATGCAATTGACCAAAAGCAAAGATTCCATGGCAAATTTGGGTCAGCCCGGTATCTTTTTCGTGCATCTGGCCTACACAGTGGGCCAGATCTAGCCAAATCATCAGCATTATGGGTATTCCTATACATTAGCACTGCCCGACTCACAAGTGAAAGTCATTCGGGGAGTGAGTTAGTCAGTCAGTCAGTATGATAGTTGCAAAGAATGAGTGTTCCCCAGTTTTCAATTTGGTTTTGTCAATCTTTCTGACTCTACAGAGATCAAGAGATACAATGCTGCAAATACGGCTGCTACTGATGGCACCTACCAGACAGGCAGAGTGCGTGCTGACTCGGGTACATTCCAGTGCTGTTTTTGACTGTGTTACTAAACCTCATAAGTCCTGTCAAGTCCTCACTGGTCCATGCAAACTAGACCTCACAAGACCACACGAGTACTCACAAGTCCTAACACGTCCTCCACAAGTCCTCACAAGTCCTCAAAAGTCCTGAGTCCTCTCAAGTCCTCACAAGTCTTCAAAAGTCCTCACAATTCTTACAATTCCTCAAAAGACTTTGCAAGTCCTCACAAGTACACACAAGTCATCATAATTCCTTGAAAGTCTTTACAAGTCCTCACAAGTTGTCATAAGTTCTCACACATCCTCACAAGTCCTCACAAGTCTTCATGGAGTCCTCAAAATCCTCCATTAGCCCTCACAAGTCCCTCACAAGTCATCCGGTACCGGATTAATTAAGTCACAAGCTATTCACGTGGACTCTAATAAAGGCATTATTACCGAATTGACTCATAATGTACTTGAAGTGACCGGTCTTGTGAAGGACCCGACGGTATAATTCTCTGAGCTTTACTCAATTTTGGGGTTGGCCGGTTGATGGGGGAGGGGGGTTCAAAAAATATTTCCCTGATTTTTTTGTATCTGCCAGACTACCCTGTTGATGGTTTCAAGCACGTCTACAGTGCGCCATCCGCAAGCGGACCGCATGCAGAGAGCACATTCAGTGCATCGATTATTAATGGTTGGCTAACCCCTCTCATCTTTCACTTCCTCCTTCTCCCTTTTTTTTCTCTCTTGTCTCACCCCCCTAACCCGCATCGCTATGCTGCTGCTTTGATATATTTGAGGCAAACAATTGGCTTTTCATTTTACCATGAGTCGCTATTTTTTTATTTATTTATTTCATATTTTAGCTGGGTAGCCCATTCAGTGGAATTCACTGATCTCCCATAGGTCACAATGTGAAGAAATTACAGTTTGAGAGGTGGGAGGAAAACCCCAGAAGAATATTCTGGGGAAAATTAACCCATGGAATCAGGCAGGGACTAAAAAACACAATCCACATGTTTGCCCAGGCAGGATTTGAACCCCGGGTCACAGCGGTGGAAGGCGAGGAAAGTACCACTACACCAACCTGACTCCCCACTACAATACTAAATTGCCTTTTTTTGGATATTATTATTAAACTTCCTTTCCTTGTATTCTTTTTAGTGGAGAATAATCGGAATTCAACCACCATAGCGGCACACCCAATATCCACAAACAGCATTGGCAATGCCGAGCGTCAGCTGTTGTCAGAGTATGGTACTGGAAAGCAACTCTACGGTAGGTATTTGCGGATGGACTTGTAAGAATTGTTCATCCGCTATTAGAGTAGCCTTTGGTCAAGCACACATATCTACCGGGATGCATCCATATGACCCCCCGGATACTGTCACGAAAAAAAGACCTGTGCAAGTAGCGAAGCCTTGAACCCTTTACTGTCTCTTGGAGAATGCATATGTTTTTTTGTTTTTTTTACATCTATCTACCGATTTTGTAGAGAAACTGTCATGTACATTGTATAATGCATTACACATTGTGAATACATGTATATTGATCAATAACAATGTAGACTTACTTGCATCTGCTTAGACGACGTCACAAGCCTACTGTGATGTTGAATGCGAAGCAAAATGTGACGTCGTGAAACCTTCACTGCAAAATTCACCATGGTTGAAAATGTTTGCCAATTTTGCAAAAATGGGATGTCACAAAGTTGCATTTGTGTTCGTTTTCACGCTTTAGGCATTCGTCACTCGTAGACATTATTGTGTCACTCAGCTTGCAAAGAAAATTCACGTTGTTGCTTGGATGGGGCTAGAACTCACTCTACCGCCCCCCCCCCCCCTTCTGAAGACGTCTTAAACACATGCTTTCAAGGCCACAACCCATCCTCATCAATATATAGTCACATTTTTTATCGTTTCAGTTTTTAGATTTCATTTAAAATGGAAAAGCTACTTCTTTTGTCTTTTGGGCATTTTAACCCTTTGAAAATACACTGTTATTTTCGGTTGCTCTCGCACTGGTAATGCACACGTCTGATTATTGTAGTTTGTAATTTGTACACGAAATATTCCATAGCAATTTTTAAAACAAATCTACGTTTTGGGGCAAAGCTCAACAAATAGTGGGGGGAGAGCAGCAGTTAATAGACATTGAAAACATAACAAGCACAATTGTTCAATTCTCATTCCTCCAAGAATTATTTGACATATAAGAAGCACTTTTGAAACCAATTTATTCAGATCACCGCAGAATTGACCTCTTTGAGAACGGTCCATACCAAGTGAAGATCCAAGAGGGGGTTCACGTGCTCACCACCGAGGGTGGTCACGTGATCCTCCGATACGGCACCAACTACACGATCAAGCTGTTCAACAACGACCAGCGTTTGCGTTGCAGCGCCGTGGTCTGCTACAATGGAAGATTTGCTGGTGACTGGACCGTGGATCCGAGAGGCAGCATAGTCATAGAACGCCCTGCCACAGAGGAGAGAAAATTCTGCTTCATTGACCCGTGTAGTGCCGCTGCTGGGTCAGGGGTCACAGACGGGGACCCCAATAATGGTCTGGTCCGAGTTGTCTTCACCCCAGAGAAGAGCAAGACAGGGCCCTGGAATGATATAAGCAGAGGTATGGGTAAAATCATCAAATTTTTAATGGTTTCAAATATCCAAAAGGACAACATTTTTTCTTCAAACCAAGTAAGATCGTTTGAAATTACATGTACCAGTGGCCTATCCAGCAAAGTACACCCCTTCCCCCCCCCCTCCCCCTACGAATAAAGCATGGATACCCTAGCAGAACCCTAGCACACCTGGGCATATCCGTAGGACATTCGTAGCGAATTCATAGAGATTTCTACCATCTACTACTTTGGAACAGTTTAAAACTTCCGTAGCCTCTTTGCGAATACCCAAGGAAGATGAGGGATAACCACGTACGTACTAAGGATGAATACGATACTCCCACGGTTTATCACGTATTTCAAACCATGGAGATCCATAGCTCCAAACCGTGAATGTGTGACTGGGGCTTTACTGAGATACACTACAGATCCACAGTACTGTGGCCTCGTGGTTAAGGGCACTGATTCGTGGTCTGCGGGTAAAGCTGCAGGTTGTGGGTTCGAGTCCTGGCGGGGTCATGGTGCGTGTGCCCTTGGGCAAGGCACTTTGTCACTCATTGCTTCTCTCCACCCAGGAGTAAATGGGTACCTGTGAGGGCAGAGATGGTTATTGTGATTGAATTAGCTTCCTTGCGCCTAACAGGCTGCATCGAGCTGTATACTCCCCAGGGAGCTGAGATGGTATTTTGGAATGTTTCATGTGCCCAATGAGCAGGGGTAATAATGATGTAGCGCCTTGAGCACCAGTCCTGGTGGATATGTGCGCTTTATAAATATCCACTATTATTATTATTATTATTATCTCTCTTGTTGATAATATTCCACCATGTGTTGTATTGTAATACAGGTTTTGGCAACTTCGGCAGTGAGCCCGAGGTGGACTACTTTGGCACGGACGACGCCGTCCCTTCCGTCAACGACGTTCCGCGCAGCCTCGTTGGACCTTCTCATTCAGACTGGCAACCGGGCGCCACGATACTGCAAGGCACAAGCAGCCAGCAGTTCACTGCCTCCGAGCACTTTCAGCTGGATGAGTCCCGCAAAAAGGTCATCGAGTTCAAGCTTGTTGGAAGAAGATAAGGGACTAGTTTACCTTTCTTGTGAGTCGTATTGTGGGGAGGTTTTGCAATTTAAGCCATGCAGTTCAAACTTGGCTGCTGAAATAGCCCTGAATCGAATTGAATTAAACATTTGGCTTCTGACTAGCGCCCCTTGAACAAAGATATTGACGAATTGGGGAACTGCTAACATAGCGCTGGATAGCTCAGTTGGTAGAGCACCGGACAGTACCCCGCTCCCGTCAATTTCTTTGTTCAACATTTCAAAAAATTGAATGAAATCATGATAAATCAATTGAGTTTTGTGATGTGATTCGATTATCTTTTTGCAAATTGATACGCTGTTGATAATTGTTACACGTATGGAACAATTTATCAAACATTAATAAATACCTTGGAGATTTGATGGTTTCTGATTGGTCGAGACTCGATCACGTGGCCGGGCATTAACGGTGATAATGGACCGGCTTCAAAGATCAAGCGAATAAATGGCCCCTGAACCAGCTTTGATCAAGCCCCGTTCAGCCCCATGCAAGCCAATGATTGGTCAAAATATAGTAACAGTCCAGCGGTAGCTTTTAACAATTGAGCACTGCACATGCGCTCAACCCCCATCGAGTGAGACTGACGCGCGCGTACGCAACACAGTTGCTAGGGATGCTTGCGTGCGCGCGCGTCAGGAAGTTTTGAAACGACATCGTACAGCAGTGCAGTATATACTGAGGATGTTTACGACGAAAGCGTAGATCTACGATTTATTTTCTTTGAAACACTTCACCCACCGACATATTTACCTTTCCTAAACCAAGCATCTTTGTAATTCCGGACACAAGGAATGTGTAAACGAGATTTCAGCTTCCTCCATCAGGTAAAGATATGAAAACATTGTTGTAGTTTGTTTTTGTACGGCAGCAGTTTCTGTTGAGTTTACGTCATTATAGCTGTTAAGCTAAAATATGGCCCATGAACATGAACACAAAAAGTCTGGAAATATCGCTGGAAAAAAGTCACAAAATTGGAGCATTTTAACTGTTTATTTCGTTATAAAGGTATTCGTCTCGGTCCATTAACAGCGGTCACCCCCACACCCGGTCATTATCACGCAGTGAAGACCGGCTCCTCACACTGTTATTCCCTTAATAATAAAATTGTACAGCACTTCAATATCAGCCACAAATATGGTGAAGTAGATGTGCTAGCTATAGCCTGCCAAGAAATGTATTTTTTGAGTGACTTGTTATGTACATAATTGTGTACAATATTTCCAAATGTAACCACGTATTGAACATTTCAGTGGACAAAAGCCAGACAATCTTTTACTTTACTATGTGTACAAAGTAATTTGTTCCGCCATAATTAATACACTGTCCTATTTGAAGTTGGTACTTTCTATGTTTTTGTAGGGACAGGGACAAACTCTGCAATGGCGGATCCAGAGAGGTTAATGCGGCGAGGGGGCGGGGAGGGGGGGGGGGGAGGCTGAGGCTTTGCCGGGGGAAAAAAATGGCCTTAATTGAGACAATTTCTGTTGCTGCCGGGGGGCATGGGGGCACCCCGGATCCGCCACTGTTGTGTCTACCTATTGTGTTACATGTATTGTGAGCTATCACATTGCATTTTAGTGAGCACCTTTTTAACCAATGTACTTTGTTATGGTGTGTTTCGTATTGGTTGCCAGTACTAAATGTTGCACACACTATATATAACCTTTGCACTATATTATGTATAGTGATAAATTTGTCGCATATTTTTTTCCATACTGGCGAACAGGTTGCACTGCGCCTTTTCCATACTGGGAAACATGCATGTATATGATTTTGTATAGGTACAATGCACATGTTCGCCGGTATGGAAAAGACGCGCTAGTGCAACCTGAAGGTATGGGGAAAAAAACAACGAAATGATGTGTAAGAATTGTGGTATTTTTAACCCATGTTTTACCAGTGACGTAACCACAGGCTTTATATTTTAAAAGCAAAATCGGGATGCTGTTAGGAGCAATATAGGATGGAAATATCATCCCGTTGGAAATCCTTTGTCCGTTGGCAAATTACAGGGATAAAGAGTCCCACCTATACTGTCCAATAGTGATCATCCGTTAGAACAATGCCTCATATAAGATAGTGTCCACCCCTCCCTCCCCCCCCCCCCCTTTGGATTTTGCGGAGGGCGGATGACCAGGTAAAAAATCTTTCAGCACTGATACTTTGTGAGTAAAGGAGACTAAAATTATATTGAGCAATGGGCAAAGAATACTCTGGTTACGTGATTGTGTTTACAGTATTACTGAATGTGCAGGGGTCTGTCATTAGCAGCGAATATCTGCATGAGTACTATAACTGTACATAAATTAGGCTGATTTGGGCCATTATCTTTTAAACTTGGTTGTCAGCAATCCAACCCTGTGTCACTTGACACAGGATTCAATGGCTGATAACCACGCTATAATACGACATTTACAAATGTTGAACTTATGATGAGAAATAAAGCTTTTGGAGTATTTTTGTGTATCAGTAATTTCTTAAACTTGAGAAACTGAAATCGTTGCTTTTGTGCCCGTGCAAAAAAAAACCCCAAAAAACAATGCCTCTTTACAACTGTGATGTCATCAGCAAAATAAGCTTTCAAAATTTGTCACTCGTTCATGTGGGCAAATAGATCATGGCAAATGAGCCGTGTGTTATTTCGCCGAAAAACACAAAAAAATACTTTAAAATGGTTCTTTCTCACATGTTCATTATTGTCTCAGTACGTAGACTGTGGTGATTCTATTTACATGTGAACCTTTTAAAGTAAGAAACATGATAGGAACTGACCAGCAAACATCCGCCCATTCCAAATTGTACATGCATATTAAAGCATCTTATTTTTTGACATGCATTAGTACTAGAGCTGTCAAATACCATTTTGAAGTGGTGTTAAAGTAGGGTTTAATCTTCTAGGGGGCACCTAGGGTGAACCAATTTTTTTTCGAGAGGGGCACTGAAGGCAACTGATATATGGTTGTTGTGCAATTAAAGATCTTAAATGGTGGGGAAGGAAAGATGTACACGAACCTCCACTGGGGGGGGGGGGGGGCAACGTGTCCCCCCCCCCCCCCCCCCGCCCCCAGTTACACCGGCCTCTGATGCCATGATTATTCGCATTTGTTTTTAATGTATCTGATAGAGAGCATTGTACACTTTATTTACCTAACGCATTAAAATGCCCAACTTGCTCAGTGCAGTCTTGCTTATATGCATAGAGACTAGCACGCCATAACTTTGACCGTTTGTAAAATGTTTAGACTCCTTTTCTTATATTAAGTAAGATTTGAGGCTTTGCATGGTGGAGATACTAAATAATGCAAGGTTTGCGGAAACACCATGTGCGAATAATTTCTCAACTAAGAGAATGGTTCTGAAAAGAACCAGAGGTATAAACTCAACGTTCCGGTCATATATGCTCTGACCGTCTTCAGGAGAAGACCGTCCTGAAGACGGTCAGAGCATACTGACCGGAACGTTGAGTTTATACCTCTGGTTCTTTTCAGAACCATTCTCTTAGTTGAGAAATTATTCGCACATGGTGTTTCCGCAAACCTTGCATTATTTTCTTATATTATATTTTTTGGTTTTACAAATATTTATACTACCTATGTATTAAGAGACATTCCTTTTTAATTCCGTTCCTTCGTATTTCTTTTTAAAAAAACCACATTTGTTTCTGATAACTAAATTTGTCTTCTTTTGGAAAGTAATTCTGGGTAGTCTTTGAAGACATATTTCAGTTATTGTTTTTATTAATTTTTACATGTGGCATGTGCACCTCTAGCTGCAGGGTTGTTCTGTGTGCTTTACAAAATTTCTTGTAGCAAAGTATAGAAGATTTCTCATTCTCAATTTAGTTAAAATTTCTGCATGCAGAGAGTGAAATGATGATTGGACATTTTCCAACCGTTTATTTCAGGCATGCAACTTTTCCTGGGATCCACAGATTTTCTCATGAATGCCATTACAAATTGGAAAACACTGTACAAAGTCTTGTGTGGTTTGGAATTTCCTCGTTTTTTTCTTCAAAATTCCCAGTTGCATGCCTGTTATTTGTCCTCACAAAAATGGACATGATCATCAGTCAAATTCTGTACTAAAAGTACATTGCAAGTTACTGAACAAATGTTACAGTCTGTATGCTGATAAGCTCAATAGTAGGGTGCTGACCAGAAAATAAATGCCCATACAAGACAACAAAGATAAACATCCCCACCTCAAAAAAAACTAAAAGCAAATGATAACCCTCTTTCACGTTCTGTTCAATTTTTGAAGGGTTGACCAATTTGGTTTTTGTGGTGATTTTTCCCTTCAGAGACTGCCCTTTAAAGCAGTATGAAGCCCATTGCATTTTGATAAATGCATGATCCTCCATTCCATTGCAAAATAGAGTGAGTTTGGCTCAAATTTATCACAAATTTCTCAGAAATACCAATTCAAAGACCAGTTTATATCTGGGACCCTTCATTTCTGCAAACCTTAAGTGCAGGGGCCACAAAATTCTCAAAAGAAATGTTTGTATATACTAGACAAATTGTGGGCTTTAAACTAGCTGCACCATCAAATTTGGTTGTGCTATTTTCTTTTGTGTGAGCAGGTTTTATGCCAAATTCTACGCTGTATATGCGCTTCCATGCAAATAGGTTTTCGAAGAAAAACTCTGGGTTGCTGCAAAAAAATTGGGGAAGATATCCTGAATATTTTAATAATGTTTTAACACATTTCCTTTTTTTTTTTTTAGAATTGATGGCCTTTTTTTTGGTCGAGTGTGCTAATTTGACCATATCTCTGTAAGTAGCCTTCATGAAGTAATTGCAGAATTTTTTAATGAGACACTAATATATTTTATTTTTTTATAATGAGACACTAATAGATGTATACATTTTGTTGTTGCAACAGTGAGAATGATGTTTGAAATAAAAGCACAACTTGATCAGGGGTTTGGGAATTTTAAAAATATTGCTGTTGTTAAAAAGATACATGGTTTTTTTTTTATTAAATATGGAATAATAATGATTTCAATTCTTTTTTGTAAACCTGTGTGTCATATATATTATGTGCATGTACATGACTGGTAAAGAAATAAAACACATTGAAAATACAATATCATACAAATAACGAATGATTATGAGTAAGAATAATTTCGTGAGGCGACAGATGGACTGTTCCTGGAATGACATTCCATCAGTCACCGAACAAAATTATTCTTTCCATTGCACGAATGTGAAACATTTATTATTTGTTTTAAACGATACGTGAATGGCTCCTTGTCATCTGATTGCTCAGAGCCACTAATCGTGTGACCGTGCAATGGAACTTCTATTTACCGTGGAATAGAACTTCTATTTTCACGGTGGGGCTGGGCCGTGGGGTGGGATCGACGAATAATTCAATGACGTGATCAACCAGAGCTCCAGCTATCATAGCTCCTTCCGTCTCATGCAGTGACCAGCGAGCAATTATTCGCCTGCTGGCCATCTTATCAAAAATGTTTAGGAACAAAATGACACCCCCGTGTTGTTCCATTTGTCGCATATGAGAAAATTCACAAAAGAGATCTATAGGGGTATCACAAAACACTTCATCCTGAGAAAACAAATGATGCACGTACGTTCCACATTAGCTTTATTATATACATGACACTCCATATATATCATACAGTGGTTCTGAATCACTAGTTACATTGTTCACAGCAACATCAATAAATAGTGCATAAAGGCTTCTACCTACAATGTACATATGAACTCAATTCTTTTACAACTCCCTAATCATGAGCAGTGGCAGACACCTAGAAAAAAAATGACTTTATCATGCAGCCTATTAAGGGTAGTACAGTACATCAAAGCCAATTTTTTGAGGTGCCACATTTGTGGATGCAAAGATTTGAAGTGGCTGAATTTAACAGTTGGCACAATTCAATGTCTGAAATTAGTCCCTTATTCCATACCACATAAACCAATGGCTCATATAAGAAAGATTTTACTTGTACTGGCCAAAACATAGGAATTTTTTTATGCCAATTTCACATGGAAAAAGGTCAATATTTCTTCCACAAACACAGCACATTGAGCCTGGTCCCTGAAAAAAAAGTATGGAGGCTATTAAAACAAGTGCGAGTACACAATATGCTCTGGCAAAAAATTTGACGCCCATGGCACATATGGAACACCATACTTTTGGCCAATTTTCATTTCCTCCTTCTGGATACCGTTCAACCACTACACAAAATATCACGTCTATAACATTACTGCACTGCCTCCGTTTACAACATTTTCATAAGCAACTTTACAAATTGTCACAAACAATTGTTAGAGTGCATTTATTGACGACGGCATGGCATTTGCTCAATTTTGGTAAAATACTTTTGGTCAGTTTTCGGGGACCGACCAACCGACACCCAAGTGACCTGTAGAAGCTCCTGCCAGAGCTGAAAAGTAGTTAATTGCCTCTATCTCACTAGGACTCTTGGAATATTCCATCAGGTTTTTGAAAGAGTTTGTAGGATTGAGGACAGCAGACCCCAGCCATGTGTACTCTGCAATGGACCTTAAAAGTTCAAAACAAAAAGTGTGCTACTGGTTTTCTGCACTGTGGAGGATTTTGGGGATTTTATGTTCCCGGCAAAAATGCCTCCAACTTTCTAGAAACTTATAAAGGCTTTAAAGACTTATTCGTTTTATAATGTTTTAGTCGGCCTGCAAAAGTGTAAACTCAGTATTTTTGTGCTTCGATCTTCTCAACGAAAGAGATACACATGCACAGAGCCTATGCAAAGGCATAAATTGGTGTGCCATCTATTAACTGAAAATCAAAACTTGAATGTTGTCTTCAGCTTTTGGATCATCATAACATGGGCTATATATGGATAGGGCAAGCAAAGCATTGCAAAGGCACATTTTGTTTAACATCAACTAGACAGCAAGCGTTACATGACTTTAGACATTAACATTTTCAAACCCGTTGATATTGCACAAGGGCAGACAAGGAGAAATATCTGCATTCACAGGAATGGTCATGATCACAAAACTGGAATGCAGAGAGCATACAATAATTGTTAGTTTAAAAGAAGAAAACAAAACCTGCCGATTCTGATGCTGGCCGTATGGTACAAAATAAAACTTTGGTGCTGGTGATCTATCATAAGATGGTAATGGTGATGACAGTGGGGATTATGGTGATAGGGGTGATAGCAGTGATTGTCATGATTGTGGTGATAGCAGCAATAGCCGTGATTGTGGTGATACTAGTGATTGTGGCGGGTGTGGTGATTGTGGTGATATAATTGTAGAGATAGCGGTGATAGCAATGATTGTGGTGAAAGTGGTGATAGTGGTGATAGTGGTAATACTGACCACTGATTGTCGTGATAGTGATGATGGCAGTGATTGTGGTGATAGTGGTGACAGCGGTGATAGTGCTGATTGTGCTGATATAGTGGTGTTTGCAGTGATAGCCGTGATAGAGGTGATTGCGATGATTGCCGTGATGATGGCAGTGATTGCGGGCATTGTGATGATAGCAGTGATTGTGGTGATAGTGGTGACAGCAGTGACAGAGCTGATTGTGCTGATGTGGTGGTGTTTGCAGTGATAGAGGTGATTGCGATGATTGCCGTGATGATGGCAGTGATTGCGGGCATTGTGATGATAGCAGTGATTGTGGTGATAGTGGTGACAGCAGTGACAGTGCTGATATAGTGGTGTTTGCAGTGATAGCAGTGATGGAGGTGATTGCGGTGATTGTAGTGATAGTAGCGTAATACTAATGCAAGTTGAGCTCAGTGGTCTCAAGCATCAGTCTAGCGCTTCCAGTATTTATGACTGAACTAGGCTCATGGTTCAGTGATTTTTCACAAAAATGATCGTTTGCAACAAAGTCAAATGCTCCAGATCAAGTCCGAATACATTTTTACGACACAGTACAGTTTAACCAATCTAATGGTACATGTTTGCAGTGTTACATATATTGTAATATTATACTGTAGGACGGCACAATATTTTAATTAAGTTTCTTTACATATCATTTTACATTTTCATACACGGCTCGTTGGTCAAATCCTAATCTAAGCACACATATCTACATGTACTTTGGCCCTTAGGCTAGCTGTAAATAAGACAATTTTTTTCCCACTGAAGATCTGTGTTCACACACACACTAAATACAACTTGATACAAGCACTCAAGGTGTATGATACCACACGTGTGTGACTCAGGATAGTCACGTGACTGTCAGGATGGTCACATGACGGTCAGGATGGTCACATGACTGTCAAGATGGTCTCATGACTGACAGGCAGTGCTGTGGTTGAGTCCATCACAAGTCCAGTCACAAGTAACAGGATGAACAATGACAAAGGAATGTTTTTGTAACAGTTCATCTGAATAGCTTGTGACTTGACTTGAGACTGGAGGACTTGTGATGGACATGTGATGGACTTGTGATGGACTTGTGATGGACTTGTGATGGACATGTGATGGACTTGTGATGGACTTGTGATGGACTTGTGATGGACTTGTGATGGACTTGTGATGGACTTGTGATGGGCTTGTGGTGGACTTGTGATGGACTTGTGATGGACTTGTGATGGACTTGTGATGGACTTGTGATGGACTTGTGGTTGACTTGTGATTGACTTGTGATGGACTTGTGATTGACTTGTGATTGACTTGTGATTGACTTGTGATTGACTTGTGATGGACTTGACTACAACACCGCCGATAGGATAGTCACATGACAGTCCAAGATTATCACATGATTGTACTGAGACCCACATGACAGAAAATATCACTGAAATATCTATGAAATCACTTTGACTGACCTTGTACATACAATTCATCATTTGGTCAACTTGTCTTTAATTAATAAACAGCTTTTTAATGTCTTTTAAATATCTTGATTGTTGTAAACTTATTTACACATAAAATAATCTGCTAAAAGAAAAATCCAAAACATAACAAAAAAAAGTGCACACAACCTATATTAATAATGCTAAATGAAACACACGTTTGCAAATATATAGAATAAATACGAGTCATGTTAGTGACTGACTGCTTATTTTGCTTAACAAAATATCTGTACATCTTGGTATCCAAACAAAATATACATGGAAATGCACGTGTTGAACATTTTTAACAAGCTAAAAATTAAGATGCTAAAAAAAATTAAATTTCAGAAATCAGCTGTAAATTAAATTTAAAACATCACACTTAAAGCAATCACACACTCAAAGGTATAGCATGTACAGTATAAAAACATAAACCATTAAATTTGAAAACTTATCAGATTTTAGAAAAAAAACACGAGGACGGTTTTTGACAAGTAGCTGCGACTTACTTTTTTACTGAAAACAAAACTTAGCAGTGTAGACAATTACTCCATGGCTACGAACATCCCCCACTACCCCCCCCCCCCCCAAAAAAAAGAAAACAAAAAAAGTTGTGAAGTTTAAAACTGATAAGCAGATTTCTGAGAAAAATACCAGGACGTTTTTCGATAAGTAAATGGACTCCTGTTTTGTGCCTCCATGGTTACTGAAAACAAAGAGCACACTTGCAGAAAATAACATGTACATGCAACTTCCAAAACTTATAACACCCCCCCCCAAAAAAAACCCCTATATTCCTGCACAAAAATTATACCCCAAAACAGCACATCTCACCCGATGTAATTAAAAACTGACACATTCACAAGTAAATCATTAATGTTTTTATCCACCACTCACTTTGCTTATTACTAAAATTGCACAGATATAATATCCTACATTAAAGACAAGGGCAAGCATGGGCAGATACCCATACAATTTATTCATTTTTGGAGAGAGAGAGAGATTCTCAAAGCATACTATGTAATAGTCATTTACTCACGATGAGGTATAAATGGACAGTGCTTGAGGTTGACATTTTGCATCAGGATCTACACAAACCATTTTGGTCTGTGTTTGCTGATTTTGACTAGCATCCTTTACTTCGCCAACATTTGATGAACCACCAGGGTTCGCCCTTATCTTTTTTTCCCCACTAGCCAGCCGGACTAGTGAACCAGACTCTTAACTAGCCCAAGGACCTTTTCGCTAGTCTGCAATATAATTTTTGTTTTTCTTTGTCATTTCTTGGTCTTCTTTTCTATATTAATTTATACACTAACGATATTCGGCAGCACGACGGCATGAAAAAAGCCGCATAAGCGTCAATATCTGAATAGTTTTTTCTCAGGCCGCCTTAAAAAAAAAATCCGGAAATCCACGGCTACACAGAAAAGTTTCTTACGTTAACTCAATAATTTCGACTCACCAGGCAGGCTTCTAGAGAACAGTTTTGATTAGCCTGCTGCTGTTTTGACTCACATTTGGCTAGCGGGCTACCGCTAAGGTTGAACCCTGGAGCTACCCAATATTTAAGTTACTTTGAGCTTTTGTGTTTTGTAAGTAACTTTGCAATGTGGGTTCAAACAATAATCATCCATGTCTTGATTATAGAAGTATCTTGAACAACATCACAAAATAGAGCCGTAAGAGTAATACACACGGATACTGGGTACTAGACTACATGTACAGACTAAACCTAACCCTGCTTTCCATAACATAATCCTCATCAGGACTGTACCATTTTTGCAATGGGGGTGGCAGTCCCTCACACATGAGTCAACCCAAGACGTTTGGTTCCTCTCTCTCCCCCCTTCATATAGGTTCCAGGGAGTTGAGATGTTTCTTTTTGCCTTTCTTGCCCTTGCCATGTTGCAGAGCCTCTAGGCGTTGGGGTCTTCGTAGATGCATGTCTGCCTGTGTGGTGGTGGGTCCGTGAAGGTCCTTGGCCGACGCGAGGGCAACGGACGAACCTTTCAATTGTTGGTGATCTGGGGCAGAAAAACACCAGAGAATGACACTGAGAAAGAGTTTAATTTTTACAGTCAAGCAACCAGAAGTCAATCACAAGTTGACTATAAGGGAGCGACTCATAAGTCGGAACGTTCCCGTTCCATTTGGAACGCTCCTTTTGGGAACACAGCCTGTTCCCGCTGGTAACAACCGCTGTTCCAGGTGGGAACACTCTCTGTTCCCACGCAGAACAGCGGGTGTTCCCAAAAAGAACAGTCAGTGTTCCCAATGCAACGTTCCGAGCGTTTCATCTTATGAGCTGCTTTAAAGAACGGTTCATCGTTGGTGCAAAGCAAACGTAAATGCGAGTTTGTAACAACATGGTAAGCATTCGTGCTGCAAATTCGCACACATTGGACACAGTTCAACTCTGGCGAATATCACAGTGAATGTTTTCTGACATCAAGTTCGCTTTGCAACCGAACTGGCCTAACATGTAAATCACAAGTCCTACAGTCCCAAAATACATACATACAAATTTATGACAGAAAACGAAAATTTATGCTAATCTTCAACAGAAAAACACAAAAACATTTGCTGTGTTGGTACATGTAGTCTGCATTAAAGTACCGTCTTTTAAATACAAGTATATCTACTTGTCTGGTTATTTTCCAAAATGTACTCAGTACTTGTAAACACACATTTTGTAAACATATGTGTGCATACATACCATGCATACTGGAATTCATATCCTTGTGGAGTCATTTCTTTGTTCTCGTGTACTAAAACTTTAGAATGTGAACATTTGGTTTCAAAATGCTCCTTTTTTAACCAGAATTATTTTCCTGGGCTGAAATTCGGATCCCTTAATACATAAAAAATACTTCAATTTGTGACTGATCAAAACATCTTGGAAATTCCTAGTTTTGAGTAAAATCCATAGATCTATTTCGTGATAACCTTGTGGAGACGATATTCACCTATGGAGTACCAAAGTGCATATGTCACGCGCACAAAATGTGTGTGAAAGACACTGGCGCGTGATTCAGCCCGTGAACCAACACGCGCATGTACTCCATTCGTTTGCGCTACACTTTCTGGCTATAAATGACGTCACACTTCGGTACTCCAAAGAAATTGCTCTGTGCAGACGTATACAATCTTTTGTTCCCTATTGTGCCCATGTCTCCACAGGGTACCGTGTATCCGATCAAAAACATACAAAAACAATATACCCTTCCAACCAACCCATCCTTTTCTTGGCAATGTTACTGGAAACACAACGCTAATTTTTATTTGGCCTTATATGCAAATTCATGCAAATTATACAAATTTTATATAATTATTCATGCAAATTTATACAAATTTTATGTAAAAGACATGTCATGCACTCACCGACGGGAGGGATGTGGTAATTGGATTCGTGGGTGTGGCTAGTGCTACCCAACAGCTGATTGGCCCGTTTAGGTTTAAAGTAATCAACAGCAGCGTCATGCGAGGAACGACTCAGTTTCTGGGCGTACAAAGACAAAAAACACCAAAAATGGAGGGGGAAAAAAGAAAAAAAAATGACGGAGGGAATGTAAGGGATAAAATGTACAAAGCGGCATTACTCAACAGAAAAGCAGCCACATTGGAAATAAGAACATGAGAGCGGAAAGGAAAAAGATGAAGAATATACAGAGGGGTCATTCCGTGTCAAATCACCCCAAAAGAGTGAAAGTTTCAAACCCACCCCCTTCAGATTGGTTCACATTTAGTGTATGGGGTAATTTAGGCTGAACAAGCTGAAATCTTAAGTTTTAGCGCCATCGGACAAACAGTTTTCGCGCTAGTGCCTGCCATTTTTGGGGGCAATTTTGGCCAAAATGGGCGTGGCTGCCAATTTTCAAATGACCGTGTCTCTCCATAACCTGTGGGCCAAGTTTGTTAATCTTGGTTTCTTTCGGAAGGTACAATTTACATTTTAAGGAATCCACATTTACTATTATTTTTTCATATGGGAGCATTTTGAAGTATGATGACCTATTTCACTTAAACTTTGACCCTGAATTTGACCTTGTGGATCACCGATCATGTGACCTTGAGACGATCTTGGATGAAAATGATACCCCAACATGTTTTCTACAAAATATCCAAAAATTGGGGGTATACAAATTTTTGCTTGCTTTCTTCATACACCAACTACGGTAAATTGAAGGTGGTGGGGTTTAAACCATTTGGGTGATTTGACACGCAATGACCCAAAGGGAAGAAGACAACAGTACGACATCCGACAACAAAACTTAAACAGAATCAAGCTGAGCTGAACAAGATACACAGAAGTTTACAGGAAAACACAAGAATTCTTTTAATAACATGTAGTTTACACAATAATAGAAATTTACAGGAAAACACAGAAATGTACAGGAAAACACAGAAATTTACATGAAAACACAAGAATTCTTATGAAAACAAGTAACGATCAAAATGTACGATAAAAGCGGTCATAACATGCTGACAATCAGAAACGTAAAGAAAATTCATCACAGGGCGTGGCAGTGTATGAATTCCTTGATCAAGTTAATTCCGATTCTGGCTGATGGATATATTTCCTTGACGTTTTAGGCAACATCACTGTCTTTTTTCTTCAGAATAATCTTCTGAAGATGGGCAACAGTATTGCATGAAACGTCAAGGATAAACCACGGGCGCATTCCAGTCACACAAACATATTTGCTTTCCTTAGCTATGCCCTGCGAACGTACTAACCCCAAATGGAATGATTACGTCATCGAAAAAAAATGTTTTCAAAATGGCAGCATCCTGTTTGCCAATCTTACAGGTGTCACCGTTCGGATAGTGCTCAGCTTTTAAAATTTTTGAAAAATATACTCTAACTGGAAGTGAATTTTTTCCAGTAATATATGACGCAACTTCGGATATTGAAAATAGAAAATGTATATTAACCATTTTGAAAAAAAAACATAGCTAACAACTCAGGAAGACTGTTTGCATTTCTTGCTAACATTCACCAACGTTGACAAACCTTGGTATTGTTTGCATGAATGGAATACACCCCTAAAAGAGCTTATATTTTATACCACGTTGGTATGGGTGCCCAAGCGTGGCTAACATCACAAATCGATCACTAGTCGACTAACGGTCCTCGGCTGAACTGGCCCATTGCTGTGGTGTGATAATGAAATTGTGAGTGTCTGTGTTAACCTGTTAGTCTGGTTTTGCAAAAGTTTGTTTGCGCATTAGCTATCACAGCCTGGGTGTATTGGTCTGCGTGTATATGGCTCAATGTAAGCATGACTAATCTTATTGTCAATGTGCACAATCTCACAGTGTCTGTGTCTGAGCATTAGACGTCGTCAGCAATGCGCTCTAATGTCCGTCCCAGTGGTCTCTCCCAACTTTCCCTTTGTAACCATTGAAGGGGTACTTGTGCACAAAGAGTCCTTGTATTGAGTGTGATTTTGATATGTTTCGCTGTACTGAACTGGGTAAGGGCCCGTGACCATTCAGCCCTGGTATGAAAAGGGCCCAGCGGTAAGCTCGTCCCCTCCCAAGAAGTCCTATCGTACCGTCCCAGCTACCGGCCCAGGAGCTGGTCCGGTTGCTAATCAGGAACTCCTCTATCCTGGGGTCTATTGTTTGCAAGTATTGACACATGTAATATATCCCAGAAGAAACCTGCTTGTGGTTTTCATCTCTCAGCGCGCAACAATAGAACAGTTTCGTCGGCACAGATCAAAACCCCTGCCATGCCGTTTCGCGCACAATGGGACCGTAAATTAAAAAGGCATTTGGAAGGATTTTATCTTTAATCCGGTAAATCTGCTATTGTTCTGCTCTGGGCGTTCTCTGAAGGGCAATAAATTGATGCGCCTGACTGACTTCAAAACTTCTGGTCAGACAGGACCATGTACCGGACGAGACTGGGCTGAAGACCGGACTGGCTCTGGACCGGACGAGGGGACCCTTTTCATACCGGGGCTGAATGGTCACGGGCCCTAAGTTGCTGTTTGGGTTGTTTTTTTTACCTGTAAGTATCTATCCTCTTCCGGCAGCTCCGTACCACCCATGGGGTAGCCGTTCACATGGGAGTGGTCTTGCCTGCTGGCGTGTGGTCCTGGTGCGTGGTGGCCTGGCCGGCCAGGCATAGGGGGGCGTCCCCCGGGCATGACGCTGCCTGCTGCGGGCAGCTTGTCCCTGGAGATGATCAACTCTGGAATCTTCCATCTGTGGATCGAGAACAAGAGACTTGTGAAACCTAGGCAAAACTTAAGCCCTACCCAAAACCAAACACACACATATAACACACAAAAAATGTTGCAGTATTTCTTGTATTTAAAATACTGCAAGTGAAATTTGCACAATTTCCCTGGCATGCTGGCAGTAGTGTACCTAACCAAAATCAACAATGACCTCATTTGACCCCTAGATTATCTTTGACCACAAATGTCTCGTGTCATCTGAAGTCCCCTTACCCAAAGATTATTGTCACTAAGTTTGGTTGAGATTGAAGTATAATTTTGCACATGACGGCACTAAAAACAGTTAACCTAACCAACAAGGAATGGACAGACAGAAGGAAGACACTATCACAATATCCCCCTTTTTGGCCTAAAAGCCAGGGGGATAAAAATAAGCAGATTGTATCAAAAAAATTCAGCTCCACAAATAAAAAAACCCAGCACAGTGATTCCTGAAACAATGTTGTAATTGATCAACAGACAAGAAGCAGAGGTAGTGAATAACAAGAAAATTTCATGAACTGGAAAAAAGTCCTGAAATTTTCTGGCAGTAGAAAATGAATGGAGGGGGGCTGAACGTCATTTGACACATCTGAGAGATAGTTACAATCCTGTCACAGGCAGGGATGCACCAAACCAGTCTCTCTGTCTAAGTCAATCTGTCTGTCTGTCAGTCCTTCTGTCTATCTCCTGTACTCACCTCCCTTCCTCCTCATCCCAGCTGCTCTCTGCCTTCACCTTGTCCAGGTTGTAATAGTTACAATCCCGTCGTAGGCAGGGATGCACCAAACCAGTCTCTCTGTCCTAGTCAATCTGTCTGTCCGTCAGTCCTTCTGTCTATCTACCATACTCACCTCCCTTCCTCCTCATCCCAGCTGCTCTCTGCCTTCACCTTGTCCAGGTTGTCATAGTGACAATCCTACCTCAGGCAGGGATGCACCAAACCAGTCTCTCTGTCTTAGTCAATCTGTCTGTCCGTCAGTCCTTCTGTCTATCTACCATACTCACCTCCCTTCCTCCTCATCCCAGCTGCTCTCTGCCTTCACCTTGTCCAGGTTGTCATAGTTACAGTCCCGTCGTAGGCAGGGATGCACCAAACCAGTCTCTCTGTCCTAGTCAATCTGTCTGTCCGTCAGTCCTTCTGTCTATCTACCATACTCACCTCCCTTCCTCCTCATCCCAGCTGCTCTCTGCCTTCACCTTGTCCAGGTTGTCATAGTTACAGTCCCGTCGTAGGCAGGGATGCACCAAACCAGTCTCTCTGTCCTAGTCAATCTGTCTGTCCGTCAGTCCTTCTGTCTATCTACCATACTCACCTCCCTTCCTCCTCATCCCAGCTGCTCTCTGCCTTCACCTTGTCCAGGTTGTAATAGTTACAATCCCGTCGTAGGCAGGGATACACCAAACCAGTCTCTCTGTCCTAGTCAATCTGTCTGTCCGTCAGTCCTTCTGTCTATCTCTCATACTCACCTCCCTTCCTCCTCATCCCAGCTGCTCTCTGCCTTCACCTTGTCCAGGTTGAAATAGTTACAATCCTGTCGCAGGCAGGGATGCACCAAACCAGTCTCTCTGTCCTAGTCAATCTGTCTGTCTGTCAGTCCTTCTGTCTATCTCCCGTACTCACCTCCCTTCCTCCTCATCCCAGCTGCTCTCTGCCTTCACCTTGTCCAGGTTGCCATAGTTACAGTCCCATCGCAGGCAGGGATACACCAAACCAGTCTCTCTGTCCTAGTCAATCTGTCTGTCCGTCAGTCCTTCAGTCTCTTTCCCATTCTCACCTCCCTTCCTCCTCATCCCAGCTGCTCTCTGCCTTCACCTTGCCCAGGTTGTCATAGTTACAGTCCCGTCAAAGGCAGGGATGCACCAAACCAGTCTCTCTGTCCTAGTCAATCTGTCTGTCCGTCAGTCCTTCTGTCTATCTCCCGTACTCACCTCCCTTCCTCCTCATCCCAGCTGCTCTCTGCCTTCACCTTGTCCAGGTTGCCATAGTTACAGTCCCATCGCAGGCAGGGATACACCAAACCAGTCTCTCTGTCCTAGTCAATCTGTCTGTCCGTCAGTCCTTCTGTCTCTTTCCCATTCTCACCTCCCTTCCTCCTCATCCCAGCTGCTCTCTGCCTTCACCTTGCCCAGGTTGTCATAGTTACAGTCCCGTCAAAGGCAGGGATGCACCAAACCAGTCTCTCTGTCCTAGTCAATCTGTCTGTCCGTCAGTCCTTCTGTCTATCTCTCGTACTCACCTCCCTTCCTCCTCATCCCAGCTGCTCTCTGCCTTCACCTTGTCCAGGTTGTAATAGTTACAGTCCCGTCGTAGGCAGGGATGCACCTTGTTTAGGATCTGGCTGAACATCTTGATCTGTTTCTCCTGCTTGCGGATGGTGTCCAGGTAGTCAATGCGCTCAAACTCAAACTCGCTGTTCAGGTCGGAGATCTCACACTCAGACACACGGACCTAGAAAGGACGAGAGCCAAGTAAACATTTCAGGGGTCCCACACACATCGTCACTCATTACGACATCAAAATTGGGCCTAATTTTGCTAACCACAAACTTATGATCACCATTCTGAGCTTACAGCATTAGCAGAGATATTCCACAGTAACCTTGCAAGCAGAGAATATTTAGTAATTGTGATGGGATCAAGCTACATTTTGAGTCGTTTGTCTGGAACTTTCATTTGGAGATTCAGGCCTAAATAGGGCAACTTCATCACATCACTTCATCACATCTCTTGGTGTTCCGACTTTCACAATTTTTGTACTAAAACTGGTATCAGCACGCTGTTTTCACATCAGTAATGCTGAGATTGTGCCCTTTTCAAATCTGTAATAAAAAAAATTGACCAGGGTTGACAAACGACTCATTTAGCTTGATCGCATCACAATTGCTTTAGACAAGCAATTCAGATTAGCCTCTAAATCTGAACGGCCTCTAGTCAGAGAATGGCCTCTAAAAACAGACTGGTGCCTAACTATCCGAGACATTGATTTCTACTTGACAGCTAATGGTTGCCATACCTTTTCCCTCTCCGCCTCCAGTAGTTTATTCTTGGCCTTCAGCTCCTCCTCGATGTTGCTGTAGATGTTCAGCATGATGCCGTCATCGTCCATCTTGGCGATGGCCTTGGCCAGCTGCAGCTTGCGCACCTCGGCGTGTTTGAGCTTCCGGCGCCGCTTTTCCTTCAGGTTCTCGTCGGTGGCTCGCTCGCCGCCCACCATCTCGTGCTCCAGCTGCTGCAGTCTGTGAAAGGAAATGACAACGAGAGATAGTTGAGCACGGCTTGAGGAGAAAAGGAGCCAATTTTACGGAGCTGCTAAGCACACAATTTTGCTGAGCACAAAAAAAAATCTGGCTCATAAAAGCAGGTTACCGGCCAGACCTCCATGTGATGAACACTGCTTGTGATTAGTATTCAGCTGTTGTCTGCTTAGCATGAAAATCACATTGGAGATTTGGCTGGTAACCTGCTTTTATAAGCCAGACTTTTTTTTTTGTGCTAAGCAAATTTTTGTGCTTAGCAGGGCCGTGAAATTGGGTCTAGGCCTTAAGACTTGATGTTGTGTTTTTTTTCCACATCTGTGCTTGCGTATGGGATAGTGTGGCCTGGATGATCTATAGTTTGAATGATTGAGTTTTCGGGTTAGAAATGTAATTCAACTACATGTACATTACCAATGTAGTTTCACAGGCAGTGTATATCAGTGCTGCCCAAGAGCCTTTGAAAAAAAAGGTATGAGTTTACGCAGACCTGTGGGACTCGAACCAACAACCTTCTGCTTACTGGTGTAGATGTCCTGTTAGGAGTTGTGACCCATGAACAGAGGTTTGGGGTTTGAATCTTGCTGCTGGCCATATTTTGTGTCCTTGGGCAAGCCACTTTACCCCCATTTGCCTCTCTTTCAACCCAGGAGTATAAATGGAGGCCAACATTCTGGTTGCCAGATAATTGACAAGGAACATGCATCTCCTCCGGTAACAGGATGTTGCAGCTTCTGAGCAGAATACATTACTCAGCATGTTAATTTTTCACCAATCTTGTGAATATTGAGCCAACGCCCTGCTGTAAGATTCCCTACCCCCCCCCCCCAAAAAATATAAGATATGGGCTGACCTTCAAGTCACACATTAGACCTACCTTTTGAGCGCTTCGTTCTGGTCCAGGGCTTGGGAGGTGTCTTTGCGGGGTAGGGTCGGGGAGGCTGTGGGCGCCGACGGACCCTCATCGGCAGGTTCCATATCACCCTGGGGCGGAAAGTCATCGTAGGACTCACCCTGGGGAGATCAAATGACAGATTTCTCATTCAGTCCGGTCCTTCGCTGGACTCCATACACAAATATCCGCTCTAGGATTACAAAGTAAGAATTGGGGGAGACCACTGGGAGGGACATTCAAACGCAGAGACACTACCGATTTGTGCAGATTCAGAATACAGTTACTCGTGTGTGCTTTAAAGGGAAGATACAACATTTGCAAACATCAAAAAACGAAATGATCCAATATCACGAAATATATAGGGACTGACAGTCTAAAGCATCCTGTAAAATCGTGGCTCCTGGTGGGCTGACATTTTCAAGAAAAACTGTATTTTTCCAATGCTGGTCGGCCGAACAGCGTTGGAGAAAACTGGCTTTTTGCAAAAACTGTTCTTAATTTTTCATATTTAGTTATTCTGACTTTTCTTTGCAATTGATCACACACCTGTGAAGGGGTACAAGCCTGCTAGACTGATTCTTTGACCTTACAATTCCCCAAAGTGTATTAATTGCTTTGTTTCATCTTAAGTGGGGTCAGGGAACCAGACTACAAGAACATGATAGGTTTTCTTGCTTTTTCCAGCATCTACAAGCCCAAAACATGAAACAAATCAGTTTAACAATATTTTATATAACATACTAATCCTCCAAATCCATTAATTTCTGAAAATTGCAGCAAAAGCAAATGTTGTACCTTCCCTTTAAGCAAAACGCATGCCACCTATTATGTGCATGCGGTGTGTCCATCTGCGTCCCACGAGCGTGAGTGGAATAACCAATAATATCAAACTGTTGGTGCCATGGATCGACCAATGGAGATCGAGGATTCAAGTTTGCTTGAAGATACAATGGTTATAATACAGCTCAACGATACCTGTTCTCTTGGGATGGCGTGGTTGGTCATGAGCTGCTGTCCTTCTCCGTCCAGTTGCTTGTGACTCTCCGAACGAAGAGCGCTCGCTTCATCCCCTCCAACTGCCGAAGTCTCTGACATGTGGGCTGCACAGCCAAACAAAATTGAAGTAAAATATGAACATACAAACACATAACTACAACCTACTCACACCCCTCCCTGCGCCCTCAGAGTAAACAATTTTCAATTTCAAAATTGTCGGTTTTCCAATCCGGGAAATTGAACATAAAACTGTGGAAATCCCTTTTCCAACTTGATCATATACAGTCACCGCCTACCTTTACTAACACTTATGCCAGTACAAGTATATGTCCGATTGGCTTGAAACTTGGCATGTACATAGACAGGGACGTGTTATAAGTGATGTGTCACAAGGACATCACTGTGTGATTTTATATTAGCTTGTGTACCCACATAGTGTCCTGTTGCTGCTTGCTCAATCTGTCAGTTTATCTATGCATCTATCTACGTGTCTGTCTCTATGTCTGTCAATGGGTGTGACCCCCTCCCCTCCCCCTTTAGTCACCGTTATGCCTGACAGCATCAGGCACCTGAGTCAGCCTTCCTTCACACTATTTCTTCATCTGCTCGATGCCCTGTTGCTGCTTGTTCAATCTGTCAGTTTATCTATGCATCTATCTACATGTCTGTCTCTATGTCCGTCGATGGGTGTGGCCCCTCCCCCTTTACTCACTGTTATGCCTGACAGCATCAGGCACCTCGGCCAGCCTTCCTTCGTAGTATTTCTTCATCTGCTCAATGTCCTGTTGCTGCTTGTTCAATCTGTCAGTTTATCTATGCATCTATCTATGTGTCTGTCTCTATATCTGTCAATGGGTGTGGCCCCTCCCCCTTTACTCACCATTATGCCTGACAGCATCAGGCACCTCAGCCAGCCTTCCTTCATAGTATTTCTTCATCTGCTTGATGTCCTGTTGCTGCTTGTTTAATCTGTCAGTTTATCTATGTATCTATCTAGGTGTCTGTCTCTATGTCTGTCAATGGGTGTGACCCCCTCCCCTCCCCTCCCCCTTTACTCACCGTTATGCCTGACAGCATCAGGCACCTCAGCCAGCCTTCCTTCATAGTATTTCTTCATCTGCTTGATGTCCTGTTGCTGCTTGTTTAATCTGTCAGTTTATCTATATGCATCTATCTACGTGTCTGTCTCTATGTCTGTCAATGGGTGTGACCCCCTCCCCTCCCCCTTTACTCACCGTTATGCCTGACAGCATCAGGCACCTCAGCAAGCCTTCCTTCATAGTATTTCTTCATTTGCTCAATGTCCTGTTGCAGCTTGTTCAATCTGTCAGTTTATCTATGCATCTATCTATGTGTCTGTCTCTATATCTGTCAATGGGTGTGGCCCCTCCCCCTTTACTCACTGTTATGCCTGACAGCATCAGGCACCTCAGCCAGCCTTCCTTCGTAGTATTTCTTCATTTGCTCAATGTCCTGTTGCTGCTTGCTCAATCTGTCAGTTTATCTATGCATCTATCTACGTGTCTGTCTCTATGTCTGTCAATGGGTGTGACCCCCTCCCCTCCCCCTTTACTCACCGTTATGCCTGACAGCATCAGGCACCTCTTCCATCCTTCCTTCATAGTATTTCTTCATCTGCTCGATGTCCTGTTGCAACTTGTTCTTATTGGACTGCTCCTCCTCATACTTGGCCGACATGGCCGCGATCTTCTCTTCATACTCCTGCCTGATTCGCTCCCTCTCTGCGTCAATCTCGGACGCAATTTCTGCCGACGAGACCCTCGGTGCCTCGCTGTCGGCCGTGGGGGCATCGGTGATGGCGGGCTTGGGGGGCGGCTTAAAAGTACCTTTTGGAGTTATGAGAAAAGTGGTGTTTACATGAAGCTGTGGAATATATAATGATCAATTTTGTTATAACTATCAAACAGGGCAAAAAAGTAGTTTCATGTTATTGTGCCACTCTCCCATTTGTAAATTTACTCATATGAAAGGGTGCAAATGATGACGATAAAACACACATAAATTCAAGAACTGAGGAAAAGAATTAGGGGGGGGGACAAAAGTCAGAGGGTGTTTCAAACTTGGGGTTGAAGAATTACAGGTGTGAATTGAGTTCTGATATTAAGTTTTCAATTTTGTTGTTGCCTTGGCAACCATCAGGCCAGAACACAGAGGGTTTTGTGGTCAAGTCCATCACAAGTCACATGACGAGTCAATCACACAAAAGGTCAAAGGTGACAGGGAATGAACAGGGACAAAGGAATGCATTTGTCACGGACAATTTGAATAGTTTGTGCCTTGAGCCTGATGGACATGTGATTGTCTCATGAGGACTTATTGAACACAACCACAACTCTGGGAAATTGTGCTGCTGTGAAAGTACTGATGTTAAAGGGGCATTACGTCCTGGAATGCGCCCAATTGGGCTACAAAATGGATTTTTGCACGAAATGATGTTACTTGTAAAGATCATTATATTAAAAGTAGGATATAAACGTCCACACAACCATCCTTTAAAAACTGGGCGTTTTTGTGTTATTCTTGCCAGAACAAATTTCGGGGGTCAGAATTTTGAGCCTCACAAATCGAGCTGCTGGGTGCTAGTCGTGGATCCTGGCGCACATGTTCCACCAGTGTATCGCATTCTGCGGACGTGCGAGAAACAAAATTTGTGCATTGGTACTGTGTGTATTATGTGTGACACACGTGTACCGTACATTGAATGGACATGGCTGGAAATGTGTACATGTATATTTCTCAAAATGTCCACTGTGTCAGGAACAATGCGACATTAGGCTAGTTTACTCTCAATTATAACTTTGAAATAGGATGAGTAAACAATCTAAAACACAAAAATCTTTGCGATTTTAGGACGTGATGCCCCTTTAAGAAACTGAAACTTTCATACACTGATTAAAGATACCGGTAGTAATGAAAACACACACACAGTGCTTTGGAGAGAATTTGTCCTGGGCATCATTGAAGAATGAGGAACATAATAAGGGATATGAAAACTCTGAATGAAGAAAACGTACAGATGTTTGGGTGAAAATGTGTTAATGTGTTGCACTCTGTGACTGTAGTAATTTGTTGTCTTTTTTGGCTCTGTGCACAAGTGCCCCCAATGGTCACAATGCAAAAACATCACTGTTAATGCTAGGCCTGCCTTGGTGTGCAATGATTTTGAACATAATTTATAGCGAAGTCATCGGTGGAAATACGTCACACCCATGCGTTGTTCAATCCAAGAAACAGACAAATATGGCAGCCGGACAGCGGAAAAGATCAAGTGGACCAAAAAATTAACTTGATGTGAAATCTCAACATAATTATTTATTGATCTCATTGCGACATAAGAGGCTATAATTCAAGCCCCAACCTTGTTGCTTTTTGCAATTGACATATAAAGCAGTAAATCACAATGAGTACGTTCGATTACTTCCCCCCGTGCTTACTCGTGCAAGCGCGACAGCGTTCGATTTACCTCTCACGTGACTTCTCGCGCTTACTCGAGCCTGGCCCAGGTAACAGATTCACCGAGCTGGTTACTGCGTTGACAACTACCACGATAGGTTAATTGTTGACTGCTGTAATGTGGGATATCATTTTTAACCCTTCAGGCCCATTATTTGCCTCGGGTGCTATGCGCCTCTTGGGTGCTTAAAATGGCATATCCAACATCACAGCAGTCAGCAATGGTTTAGTGTTCACGCGTGATTGACATAAAGTATGCGCGACTAATTTTAATTTGAAGCAGCCGAAGGGGGACCAGGCAACAAAGTGGCAATGCGTTCCAACGTCTGTCTTATCGCTGTCTTTGCCACCATTGTGGGGGTACATGTGCACAGAGTCTATACATAGAGTGTTAGTCTGACTGGTGGGGACCGCAACACTTGGTGCGTGGTACACTTACCCGCTGGCATACCAAAACCTTCAGAAATGGGAAAACGGGACAAAGATTGGGACAGAAACATAATTGTCAAATGTGTCTCAATTAACAGAATTTATAATGTAAAAAAAAATGTATTGTGTTCAAGGATGTCAAATGTGACGTTGTATGTCAAAACCAGGTAGACTTGGGCAGAGCTACGAATGAAGAAACAGAGCTCTGCAAAAATGACACTGGGGTGATTTTCAGCGATTTTAAGATTTTTTTAAATTTGTGATGCTACTAATGTTTAAAATGTTCTGCAAAATGGAAATTCATAAATACAGTTTTTTTTTAACAAAAATGACACTTTGTTCAAGATTTTGTTCTGAAATGACGCAAAATTAGCGTGACAATTCAGACAGTCCAATTTCAAAATTTAATAACTTTGTTTTGGAACATCCAATTTCAATTAAGAAAGCTGCGTTTGAAAAAGCAAGGTCTATGTTTTAACTAATATTGCAATAACCCAAATTTGGCTTCTTGCCCAAAAGTTCCTGATTTTGATATACCACGTCACATATTGATTTCAATAAATTGTATGCAGAACCCTTTTATTTTTTGGAGGATATGCAATCATGGTCCAACAAAATTTATCTCATTTTGAAGAATGCCATGTGTTTTTCCACATTTGAACTAATACACTTTGTCTTTATGAGCTATGGCTGAATGTCCAGCCAAAAGAAATAATTTAGAGTCAGCAGGAAATTTTCCATGAAATAGTGACAGAGCAATGCAAATCTCCATGCATGCAAAGCACTGGCTAGATTCAAAGGCCACGTAGATCGTTTGCACTGAAACTGAAACGGCCTTGAGCTTGTTGATCAAATGGCATTCACAGCTTTGACTCGGGTGTCATTACACCCCCTTGACACCCTCAGCTACTCACCTTCAAAGCCCTCGGCATCTCTGGCCTTGAGATGCCCATGGCCTTGAGCTTAGGGGTGTGCATTTACAGGTAGTATGGGAATCAGGTACCCAGGTACCCGCTAAAAACACCAAACCCCAAAATTTAAATCTTGGAAGTTGATGTTCAGATTTTTTTTTCTCAGAAAGGTCAGTGTGTTCATACTACCACATCAGTGCGTCAATGCAGCAAGATACAAGTGTGTACAGTGAGCTCTACAGCTCAATGGTGCAAAGTGAATTTTTGCTAGCATCATAAACGTAAATCAGTTTAGTTTTTCCATGTAGCCTGGTTTTCATTTTGAAAATTCCCCACAAATGACATTCTAAACCTTTGTTTTTCAGGGGTACAAAACCCCACGGAACACATCATTATCACCCAGACCTAATCACCTTCAAATGGCACCCTCAGCTTCACCTTGGGTGTCATGTCACCCCCTTGGGGGTACAAAATCCCACGGAACACATCACTATCACCCTGACCTAATCACCTTCAAGCAGCACCCCTCAGCTTCACTTTGGGTGTCATGTCACCCCCTCAGAGGTACAAAACCCCATCGAACACGTCACTATCACCCAGACCTAATCACCTTCCAACGACACCCTCAGCTTTGCCTTGGGTGTCATATCACCCCCTTGGGGGTACAAAATCCCACGGAACACGTCACTATCACCCTGACCTAATCACCTTCAAGCAGCACCCCTCAGCTTCACTTTGGGTGTCATGTCACCCCCTCAGAGGTACAAAACCCCATCGAACACGTCACTATCACCCAGACCTAATCACCTTCCAACGGCACCCTAAGCTTTACCTTGGGTGTCATGTTACCCCTTTAGGGGTACAAAACCCCAAGGAACACATCACTGTCACCCAGACCTAATTATCTTCAAATGGCACCCGCAGCTTCACCTTGGGTGTCATGTCACCCCCTTGGGGGGTACCAAACCCTGTGGAACACATCACTGTCACCCAGACCTACTTACCTTCAAATGGCACCCGCAGCTTCACCTTGGGAGTCATGTCACCCCCTCAAGGGTATAAAACCCCATGGAACACATCACTTTCACCCTGACCTAATCACCTTCAAATGGCACCCGCAGCTTCACCTTGGGTGTCATGACACCCCTCGGAGGTACAGAACCCCACGGAACACATCACTATCACCCTGACCTAATCACCTTCAAATGGCACCCCCAGCTTCACCTTAGGTGTTATGTCACCCCCTTAGGGGTACAAAACCCTGTGGCCCACACCACTGCCACCATAACCTAATCATCTTCAAATGGCACCCTCAGCTTCAACTTGGGTGTCTTGACACCCCTCGGAGGTACAAAACCCTGTGGCCCACATCACTATCACCCAGACCGACTCACCTTCGAAGCCCTCGGCAGGGATTGGCATCTCACCCATCAGCATGGCCTTGAGCTTGTTGATCTCCTCCTGGTACTGCCTCAAGAGGGCGTCCTTCGGGTCCTCGTTAATCTTGGGCTTGTTCTTGATGTTCTTGGCGCGGTTGGCGTAGCGGAGCGTGCTCAGCGTCTCGTCGTAGTTGTTGTCGGCCGGGGAGAGGCAGGCCACCATTAGGGTCTTGGTGTTGCCACCTGGTAATTGCACAAAACAAGACAGATTCACTCAAACAGAATTCGAACATGTAACCTCTGAAATATGAAACCGGTGCAAATCAACAAAGACAGAATGATGTTGATACATCACAGGGACGGAACAAAACACTCACACAAACACCCACGTTTGTTTATGGTGTAAATCAAGGATTTTCTTTTGTTCCTCTTCCCTTTTCCTTTGTTTGTACTTCGCTACAGCTCTCATTGGTTTTGTACATGTTTTCTAATCGAGGTCGTCCTCGATTTGGTTCTTGTCCTTGATTCACCGATGATGTTGCACGAGTGTGTCCTCGATTTACACCATATCCAAACGCATGTAAACATAGTCATTAACTCATCAGGCACTTTTCAAATCTTTCCAAATCAAGACTTTCATGTACAGTATTAAACAGCGGTTTTGAGGTAGCTTCAGGACTAAACAATGGGACTTGTTTTTGCTAGAATTAGGTTTGCGAATGACACCATCAAACTATCAATGTATTTTATGAAGTAGAGGTGGTCCCGAAAGACTCTCCAGATGGTGCTGTCTTAGCACAAATTCGGGGATGGCAAAAATTGAGCTTTTCTATTGTAACAACCGAATTCAGTGTCCCCTTCCAGAAAATAAGTACACCCTCCAGAAACTGAGGCCCCCTTTGGTACCCCCTTCTGGGCCCCAGTAATGCCACTGATGTCGCATATTAATCAGGGCTGTGATTGGTCAAGCCCATCATGGGGGCGGGGCTTGATGGGTTGGTCTATTCCAGCCCTGATTTGGCTTGAGAGCAGAGGTTGATACTCACCGAGGGAATCTTGTAGCAGCCTAGTCAGCTTGGAGTCTCTGTAGGGTATGTGCTTGGATTTGCCGTCCACCAGGGCCGAGATGACGTTACCCAGAGCAGACAGGGACAGGTTGATCTTGGTGGCTTCCTTCAGACGATCACCGGTCGCTCCTTAAATAAAAAAAAAGGAAGGAACGATAATGATCAAACTGGCTGTTTCATCAGACATTTTGCTCATCCCAGTGCTGGTCCCAGTTAAAATTTGCATGCGGCGATCAATGTGGGGCGCTGGACAGTTTTGCGGTATGTATTTTGCAACTGTAAAGGGCTTTAACCTTCTAAAGGGATGAACTGCCATCAACAAAAAGTGGATCCTGTCGACTAAAAAGTGGATCCTGACAATAAAATGCCGCAACTCTATGATAAAATAACATCACAGTCGTGTGTGTAAACATGCGTATTTAACAAAAACAATTCTCAAATTCTTAAACCGGCAAAAAGCTATTCAAATGTTTAGTTGATGATCCAATATTCAAGTATTCGGTATACAGTGGAATGCCGCTATAACAAACATTGTGAGATCCACAGGAAGTGTTCGTAATAACAATCGTTCGGTACAGCGACTTTGAAACGCCGGTACCCTCTTTTGACCAATAGTGAATTGGCATTTCTCACATCCCGCGGCCGCAAGAGGAGTCGTCAGGAAGCTTTAGCAATGGTTGGTTTTCCCTTTTACTCCTTGGGGAAATAATAGCCATCTATCGCTCTTCAACATTCAAACAGGATGTAACTATGGGTCGCTTGATGTTCGGAAATTAAAAGTGGCCCAAATAGTGTTTAATACATGTACAACTGGTAGATTATTTGTTAATCTGTTGACTTTTTTCAACAACAATGTTCAGTACATTTTTTACATTAAAACCAGGAGCCAAGGATGATGTTCGGTATAGCGGTGTTCCGTACAGCGGCGTTCCAATGTATATTTGATACACCCATAGTTCTTACCGCTTACAGTCTCTGTTAGCAGAAAATTGTGTGCTTAGCAGCGCCATGACATTTGGCCTAGACCTGCCAGGGGCCAATTTCATAGAGCTGCTTAAGCACAAAATTTGCTTAAGCACAAAAAAGTCTTGCTTAATAAAATCAGGTTACCGGCCAAAACTCCATGCAATTGTTATGCTAAGTAAACAACAGCTAAATACCAGTCACAAGCAATGTACATCGCATGGAGTTTTGGCCGGTAACCTAATTTACTAAGCAATGTTTTTTCGTGCTTAAGCAAATTTTCTGCTTAAGCAGCTCTATGAAATTGGGCCCAGACGTTAGGATTAACAGCCGATCGACTGTGCCATCATTTTTCTTACCAGTTTTAGCTTGTCTCTCACTGCCAGCCAGATCCACCAGGTTCAGCTTGCCGGCCCGCAGATGGTCCTCCCCAGAATCGTCCAAGTCACAGCGCTCGATGTGGATGGTGAAGATGGAATGAGAACGGGAGGAGTCGGCATTCATCAGCGTTGACCCCGTGGAACGGTTCTTCCAACCCAAGTCCATGATATGCTCGCACTCCTGCGTGTTGTGCACGATGTGCATGGTCAAATCTGCAGGTCACACACACATTCAAGTGTCATTTTTATCTATACTATAATTCCAGGAATCTATGGATTCCAAGACGCTATGGCTTAGCTTTGTGCACATTCAGGATAGATAAGTCATGCGTACTTCGCGCGCGAACCAGTACAGTGTTCACGTGTACGCGGTCTCAAAGGTGGTTAAAACGCACCCTCTTTTGTTGGCGCACGGAGCCCATCATGGTCTTTTGAATCTTAAACATACCGAAGAAAAAACTCATGGAACTCCATTCCACTCAGGCATGCGACTGGGAATTAGACAAAATAAGGAAATTCCAAACCCCACAAGATTTTGTACAGTGTTTTTTTAACCCTAACCGCCCTGAATCCTCCAAAATCCTTTTTGCAAATTGGAGGAATTTGCAGGATTGAGGTTACATGGCAAGTGGGTTGCTGATTTCGGAGTACGCACTGTGTCAAGGTCTTGGGCCGGACCTTGTGTTGTTTATGCTCAGCCATGCATAAATTTAGTCCTTGATTATACTTGACATCCTCCGCACTGCTCCAGGATGTCACTACCTCTGCCTCAGCCTATTGACAGTCATAGCCGGAGGATTTTGCAGGATTCAGGCAGTGGTCATCCCTCCATGGACATAATGGACCATATTCAAGAAATAACGGAGGAATTTGCAGGATTGAGGCTATATGCTATTTTTCCATGAGGCCAATTGGAGGATTTTGCAGGATTGAGGCTACATCCTAGCAAAAAGGCCTAGGGAGTTAGGGTTAATTAGTAATGGCATTCACGAGAAGCAAAAAACAAGGAAATCAGCGGATCCGAGGAAAATTTGTATGCTTGTCCATTTTTTTAAACTAACCTTTGACATAGACTCCTCTGTCAGGGTGCTCCTTCAATTCCAGCTTGGCCTTGTGATCTTTCCCGAGTAGATCCCTGATGTCTTCATTGTAAATCTCCAGGTAGGAGGCCCGCACCAGAAACTTGACACCTTCTGTAACCTGGCAACAAATGGAGGAAATAAACAACCGTTGTTACATCACAACATTAGTTTTCTGAAATTTCTCTTTTAGTCGAGGACTGTTCGAAAATTTTGAAAATTACCATCGCTGCTGGGCATTGCTTAACAGTTTTCAGAAAAGTTGTGCTTACCATAGCAGAAAATTGTGCTAAGGCCAAAAAAAAAAAATACTCGGTCTCTGGTCAGCGCGCGCGTCGATTTTAATCATGCGCGTCAACCTTTTTTCTTCTTCAAATTAACACGGAAGCTACAACAGCGCCCTCTATTGCTGCCCCTCCTCAAATTTTTGTACCAAGGAGCACCAAGGAATGGGGAAATTGCACCAAGGCAAATGATAAAGGGCACTAAGGCAAATTATGGAGGACACCAATGTATAATGAGGACACAAAAAAGCAAAATATTACCCACCTTGTCTGTACAATAAAAGCCTGGGGAAAAAAAAGCCACCAAAAAAAAAAAAAAAAACACCCGCGTCGCCGCATCAATTCCGGAACTTCGGTCTGACCAGAGACCGATTATTTATTTTTTTGGCCTAACCCTAAGCACTATTTCATGGCGTGGATGTGCTAACGGCCGTGCGCGCATGGAGATTTCTATTGTTAGGTCACTGATTTAAGCAAGTTTTTCCTTCTAGGTACATGTGCCCTTTGCTGTGCTTACAGCTTACAGCATGTACAGTCTCCATGAAATAAATGGAGGCTCTGTTAGCAGAAAATCATGTGCTTAGCAGTGCCATGAAATTGGGCCCTGATGTGTACAAATTATTTTAACCGAAACTCCAGTATCACGTGCTATTTTCAAGTTTCATTGGAGGATTTTGCAGGATTGAGGCTACATTCTAGCAAAAAGGCCTAGTGAGTTAGGGTTAAGCTAGCCCTATTATGGCATTGCATCCCAACTATAGCTGGGACAATCCCAACAATAGTTGGGATTTCCTAACTATGGTTGGAGCAATTCTATAGTTGGAATAAAGCCATAGTTGGGGTGTAGTATCCTCATTAATGTTACGCCCTAACCATGACAATGAGTCCCAACTATAGTTTGGACAAATCCAACAATCGTTGGGGTCCAACCCCTATAACTATACTTAGGACGATCCTAACTGTAGTTGGAATCGTCCCAACTATAGCTGGGATGATGCCATAGTTGGGGTATAGTTCCTCATTTATGTTACGCCCCAACCATGACACTGAGTTCCAACTATAGTTTGGACAAATCCAACAATCGTTGGGGTCCAACCCCTATAATTATACTTAGGACGATCTTAACTGTAGTTGGAATCGTCCCAACTATATCTGGGATGGTGCCATAGTTGGGGTATAGTTCTTCATTTATGTTACGCCCCAAACATGACATTGATTTCCAACTAAACAAATATATTTGGGACAATTCCAACAATAGTCAGGGAACTCCTAACTATTGTTAGGATGATCCTAACTGTAGTTGGGTTCGTCCCAACTATAGTTGAGATTATGTCATAGTTGGGGTGGAACATCCTCACTGAAGCTACGCCCCAACTATGGCATTAAGTCCCAAGCATAGTTGGGACAGTCTAAACAATTTTTGGAACAATCCCAACAAAAGTTTAGTCAATCCCAACAACAATAGTAAATCCCAACAACAGAAGTTGGGGAATTCCTAATTGTGGTTGGAATGGTCCTAACTGTAGTGGGGATTGTCCCAACTATAGCTAGGATAATGCCATAGTTGGGGTGTAGTTTCTCATGGATATTACGCCCCAACTATGACACTGAGTCCCAACTACAGTTGAGACAATTCCAACCAAATTGGAAGAATTCCTAACTATAGTTGGGACAATCCTAATTGTAGTTTGGATCGTTGGAAGGTAATGTCCTCAAAGACAATGTCAACCAACCTGTATGTTCTCAAAGATGTGTTCGAAGGCCCGTGGTATAATCCCTCGTTGAGTGGCTGGATCCGTGATGCCCTGCATGCTGAAGGATTTGCCGCATCCTGTCTGGCCATAGGCAAAGATGGTGCCATTGTAACCCTCCAACACGCCCTGAATTACAACAGAGAAAAAAACCCGAATAACATTGTCTGTTTGCACATCGCGTATTGGCGTGAGAACGAAACTTATAACCACGCGAAGGTTTACCTACGTTCATCCGATGGATTCTTGATTTATTCAGGCTCGTTTGGATCCAATTTTAACCCTTACCCTACTTGACCCTCCAACGCATGCCAATTGTGCCTCAAAAAAATCTCCTATGTTTTTTGCATGGCCCTCCAATATCTGCCATGTCATTTCAAGGGTAACTGGACAGGCACTCCAATACATGCCACAGAGAACAATGAGAGTCCTCTGATAACAAAGTGAGTGCCCCCAGCTGGTCAGTATCAGGCACCCTCCAGGGCCTCCAACTCCTGCCAATTGGAGCCTTCACTGCTACATCAAAGTATCCTTCAATAAACTGCAGCTGGAGGGCATTGGCATAACCAACTGACATGCAGTAAACTACCCTCAGAGAGTAAGGGTTAATACAGTTCTTATCAACGGTCATTTTAGATTTGTTTGTGGGTGAAAATAAATCCTTCAACTTTATTCCAAAAAAATTGTTCGTCCCAAAAGGCAGTTGAGTCTCCTGTTTAATTGAAGTTTTTCCTCAAGATCCTCACAAAATTATTTCATACATGTAAAATGTTCATGCTTGAACAAGTGATCGAGTTCTACGAGTCCATAGGGAAGTTTTTGGAAGTGAGAGGTTCATTTTTGGCACAATATTTCTCTTTAATGTCATGTAAATGTTAAGTTTCCAGAACATTCTTAGGGTACCAAAGCTTATTTAAAAAAGACATTACACGTTAATTTTCCTTGTGCAGGGGTGTGAGTGACCACTGATGAAAATAGCTGAAAACAGCTGAAAAAGGTGTAAAAAAGCTGAATTTTGGAAATCTCCTATACTTTTGTACACAGCAAGTGAGGGGAAAAAGCTGAAATCCAAAACAAAAAAAGCTGAAATCAGCTAAAAAGCTGAGATTTCACACCCCTGCTTGTGAAAAAACTCTGACTTTTACACGTTAATTTTCCTTTTTGAGGGGCCCTGAAGCGCGCCACCAGGGGTAAACTTTCAGGCACAGAGGCGCTATACAGATTTTACATGTATGCAAATTATTTGTTATGACACTTTTTATAAAAGAAAAAACATGGATGCTAGTGAAAATGCCCGCGGGCTAGTTGAGAGTATGTTTCAGTAGCCCAGCTGGCTAGTGAAAGAATTTTTTTTAAATTTTTTGTGATACGAAAACACTTTGAGAAGTGCAAAGTTTGCTTGTATCCACAGGCATCTCCAAAGGCATATAGGAGAAATAAGAGATTTTAAGTTCCTGTTCTCCAAATTTTTGTAAACTGAATAACAGTTATCTGCTTTACCGGATATTCTCATTCAGCTTACAGTCATGCCAACAAAAAGTGCTGAGTGAGGTGCTTGCATGCAATGCCCTCCACAATGATTGGGTATAGTTTGCGAGATTCACAGACCACTTGGCAAAAAAAATCCCTCCAGATTTGTAATGGTGAAAAAACGGATAGGAACTCACTGATCAGTCAAATGAGCAGGCTTTTCATTAACAAAGAAGGCCATTAACGCTAACCCCCTAGCATGATTTACTAGAAACCATACCCATCCTGGCAAATTCCAACACCGTATAGAAAACTGCCCACACATATTTCTGACTTTGATTCTGGAGGTGTGCCAACCCAATGTAAAAGACTGTCAGTTGAGGGGTACTGTACCCATCCTGACAGATTCCAACAAAACATGCCTTTGGGGTTTGATGGGTTGAGACCTGTTAGGGTTAACAAGTGAATGTTGTCACAATCGGAGACCATTCAGCAAACTGACCACTGTTCCAGATATTTTCTTTACCTTGTGTCCAAAAAAGAAATTGACATCACAAAAATGTTCAGCGTATCCATAAAACAAAAAAGCTTGAATAACGATTTGAGCAAGGGACTCATCAACAAAGAAGTTCACTTCTTACTTGAGAAAGTCGGCTGAGAAAATGTCCAAGAGACAAGTGCTACATTCATGACACCATTCCATTGTGTCCATGATTCAACCAAACTCCATTAACATATGTGGGGGAAAATCAGACATTATTGTCGTTTTCTTCCAACAATTGCCAGTGAAATTTATCATTTTGCTCTCTTCGCCATCCTCACGATCATCAACGTGATTTTAGAGTATTGCATTTTGTTCAACTAAATCTTAAGCTTCAAAAATTGCGCAACATGTGCATTTGATTGCAATAGAACCCCACGTGTAGCAGCCTTCAAGCTCTCTGTTAGTTTCAATTAATGCTGAAATTATTTCTAGCAGTAAACTACTTTAATCTGGGCTTATACACATGTACTTATGTGCGTTTACCATACAATCTGAGCACTGACGACTGGTAGAACAAATTAAAATTGCGCTTGCAATACAGATGTCACGTTGCCGTTTTCATCAATTTCGTTGAAATTTAAGTTAAGAAATCAAACTCTGCGGGGAAAATATCTTCAGAATTAAAATCAGAATTTTGGAAATAAATTTGAAAAAGTCGGAATTCCGATTAAAATCGGACAAGTTTCATCTCTGTTTGATGAAATAAATGTTACTGATATTGAAACTGAATTGACATCAGGATTTAATCAACAGCGATATATGGTTGTACTCACATCGACAAGCGGGTATGCTATGTCATTGTAGATGGTCTCGGTGGTGGAGTCCACGTAGTAAGCACCGTCGAAGGTGAAACTCTTGGGTGGGTCCTTGGTCTTAGGTTTCTGAATGGAGCAGTAGCCCCGCCCTCCTTCCATCTGAACCACCGGGCTGCATCCTAGCGACTTCTCCCTCTCGTTCATGGGCCGACATCGCACGATGACTTTCACGGCCTCGGCCATGCTCAGCTATGCTACAATTGACAATAAAGCATAAGACATGAATGAATTGAAGTGCACATTTGCACCGGTAGTCTTCATATCAAACAAACAAATGTTCCTAACTTACCAAGACCGACACTCACAATTGTATCCAGACTAGAACCTGTCCTTGAGAGCAGAATAACATGCAAAATCCTGCAGTAATACAAAATGGTGTTGTCGTCCTCTACTTAATTGAGTCCAAAAGTTTTCTTCTAAATGGAACTTTTCATCAACGAATCAGCGACATTCTACCAAACCAGCTTAAACATTGTTAACTTAATTAAATTAGTCACCATGTTCGTGGGTTTTGTAGCTGTCGTTGGGAGAGAATACCATATACATATAGACGTCACTAATTTTTCCCTGCAATGACAATCTTCAAATCTTCAAAGGTGTGATCCTTATTCAGCAAACTGCTACACTGGGATTGGGTGCAGGTGTGACGTCACAGGCAAAGGTGCAAGAAAAAGTGAAGAAAACAAAAGGTGGCCAACCAGGACGATGAATACACAATCAGCCATCAGAAAGCAAAAACATGGGAAAGATTTCCATATACGAAGTTCACTCAACACCCTGTGTACAAACCCTATGAAATTGGACTGAAAAATTCTAAGTGTTTTCTAAGAAAATGCTTGCATTTTCTCACTGCTCAAATTGACTTTGATGACATGAAATTGCTATCTGGGGGCTTGTTAGTCAATACAGAGGAAAATTAGTGAACTTCGCATATGGTAATCTTGCCTATGAAATTCTTTCCTGTCGTTGTTTTACCCCATAATTTCCCTCAAAAATCAAAACCCTGCCTCTTTCTACAAAATTAATCCAGCAGATTTACAACATGGTGTCAACATCATCTATTTAGGTGAGTCCCAGCCCTAAATTTTATCATTAGGGCTGGGTAACTCCAGCTATTCTACATGTTCTAGGGGTAGGCCTACATGGTCACTTGATCACTGTGTAACCGTGGATCACAATAGAGTATATTTACTGTAGATTGAAGCATGGCTATGTAATAGAGGCATGTTCACAGGTAACATGATTAATAATGAAGTATGAAAATGGGACTTTTTATGAGCATGATGAGCATGATGAGTGATTTAAATCATTGACCAGATTTATTCGGCCACCAGAAACTTAGTTTCATTTTAATCAAAATTACCCGAGTATGCCGGCACTACTAAAGTGAATGTTCACACCCAGCTGACAAGCTTATGTCCAAACGAATGCCTCCAATTCAGGTTATTCAACCGCGTGTCTGACCGTGACAGTGCAACACAGCACAGTTGATCAGTCCCTGGCCTTGCCTTGTGTGCTATGTTGAGCTTCGCGGTTGCTAAACACTGAGGAGTAAACACCGGCTCAACGTCAACGATGACAGCTGGGTAGAAAAATCGCACAAAAAGCTCAGCTACCTCGGTAAAAATAATCTTATTTGAATACACCACTCGAAAACTGGAATGTTACAGAGCTGTCATTCCATAATATAGGCGTCAACACAGTTGAACATTTTGAGAAATCAGAAGGTTTTTACGAAACAGATTGTCGACCTTTCTACTTGGCGGCCATATTGCCTTTTGATCAATTACGTCATTCGGCTCGATCAAGTCGTCTGAAATAATATAACGCAAATTATCGATTTAAAATAATCTTTCAGTATAGCAGTCTTCCATTCGTTATTTGAAATGTTATTTCAAAAAAAATTTTCATAAAACGGTATAAATAAGTTCATTTTTTTTTAATAACAAATTGCATATTTATCTCTTAATTTTAGTGCCTAAAATATTAGCAAAAATTAGCATAAGTTTTCAGAAAGTTTTGTTTCCACAAATTTTATTTTACATTCGCGTGCGTTGTGAGCTGAGGAATAATGCTTTATCGGCAGATGCACTTTCATGTCTGTCATTTTTTTTATGTGAAACTTATAATTTAAATTTATTTTTAAAAGGGGGGGGGGCGGTAAATAGGTTTATAGGAGATGTTGCATTATTTCTTCATTTTTTCCGATGCACCGACAAAGAGGCAACGCAGGGGATTTACCGTCATATTTTAGGCACTTTAGGCTTACATCATGCAAGGGCGACAATCGCTTCTCAAAAGTGGGGGGACATAACTTTAATGCAAGCACGAAGCGCGACTGGCACTAAAGGCGTGGGGGCCGCTTAAGGGCCCGGAAAAATGTTGGATTCTAGACCACTTATTCTGACAATTTCTGACCACTTTAAACAATTTTTTGTTAGCAAAAGATCAGTTTTAAACACAATTTTCTAGTTTGGAGTCACAGTGAATCAGCTATTCTGAGCAATATAATCATTACGTATGTTACACATTTTATTTGGGGACATAACAAGTGGGGGGGGGGGACGAACGATATGATATCCCCACTTTAAAAAGTGGGTGAACTTGGTCGCCCCCCCCCCCCCCAGCTCCAGCTCCCCGTCCCCCCACCGATTGACGCCGCACCGATTTTGACATTGGGCCTAGCGCATTGTAGGGATATTTCCTTATTTCAAGAAAATGTCTAAAGTCCTCAGGAATTTCGAAGGCAACGAAAAGTGTAAGGGAATAGAGCCTGAAAGTGCGCCGTTTTGTCTTTGAGCTTCCGACAGCTGGTGTAGCGTGAATATCCGACTCCATGAAATATAGACTCATTGGTAGTATTGCGCATGCGTAAGTATGTAACATGCTATTTTTAGGATCGTGGGAGAGTGACCTGTCACGTGTGAGGGATTAACTAATAATACATGTAATAGGGAAAAGTTGTCCGATTTAATGACGATCACGGGGGTCAGTGCCACTGTCATATGAAAATCCGACTCATCAGACGTCGTCTAGGCTACTGCCCGTTGATGCAACAACCGTCCAATGCAGGGGTTATAACTTATATGACGTCGGTACATGCAGTGCTGCCGCAATTATAGTTCAGCCAAGCTGAGGCAACCCCAATTCAGTGGTGAGGCCGCCGATCCTACGGAGTTTGGGTCTGCCGACACCGCAGCAGTACCCAAGCACTGACGCTCCAAGCCTCACCCTGTCGCACTGCATGACCAAGCCAAGCAGTTTTCTGTTCTCGGATTGTGTAAGTAGTGAGACACCATGATCGAACAAGGAGACATAGGCCCAGCTTCTTAGGCCCAGCGGCGTAGCTAAGGGGAGGGGGCGTGGGAATTACGCCCCCATAAAAAGTTCACGCCCCCTCCAGTCGCCCCCCCCTCCATAAAAATGTGTCATCCGGAGAAAAGCACAACCATAATGAGTTACCTTGATTAGCTGGATCTCGATGGAAGAACAATATAAGATCCCTTTTCTGCGATATTGTGCGTTTTTTTGTAAAAAAAAAAAGTGTGTACAATACGGTGTAAATCGAGGACAAACATGTGAAGCATCATCGGACACAACCTCGTCCCCAGGGTGTCGAGCAGTACGCGCCCACCACTACCTGCTCTCTCACCCTGGTATTGGATCATTTGCATGTGCAAGATTTTTGAACACATATGCAAATGAGGAACAGTCTGGTGCCTGGATATGCGTTACACATTAGCGTTTGTTTTTGTATGCGGTGTCTGGGGTAAAAACAGAGTCAATTCGTAGCAGCGCGAGCACGGCGTGAGTTACGAAAACACGATTTTTGAAATCAAACTGTTACGATCTTATCGAGACAACATGCAGTATCATATTTCATATTAATATGAGCAAATTGGAAAGGAAATTTGTATTTTCGAGAAGGCGTGGACGAATGATCGCGAAAACACGTACTGCACGTTGTGAATAATAGCACCAAGTACACGATAAAAATCCATTACTAGCCAATTGCGGTATCCAATCAGGATACAGGAGGAAAGATTCCTATTCAGGGTTTACTATTGGAAACGCGGTTGGAAATAAAGTAAGCACTGGGGACGAGGTTGCATCGGACATGAGTCAAATCGAGGACGCCGAGAATACGTGTACAAACCAATGGGAACTATAGTTGCAAAAAGTTGTACAAACTGAGATCGTGATGAGGAACGATAGAAATCCTCGATTTACACCTTTTACAAATCTGTGTGGTTTTTTTTTTGGGGGGGGGGGGATGGGGGGCAATCCAAACGTGGAAAGAATGTCCTGTCCATTCGGATATAATTCTAGGTTTATTAATTCTGCGGCCCGGACGGTTTGTGCGCGGAGGACGAGAAATCCGGTCACGCCAACCAGCTCACGGGCCGTTTGCAACTGCTTGCTCTCATGCGGCTTTGAACCAGGGTCCTTATTCACAAAGCACCCGTAAATGCTTGCGGGCGCGCAACTTCCCCGCAACCCTCACTTAAGCACTTGCGGGTTATTCACGAAGCCCCCTTAAATCTGCGTGTGCCCGTAAACCACCCGTAAATTTGCGGGACCTCCAGACGTCCCGCAAGCACACCACAACTTGCGTGGATCATCTCGATTGTCACAATGGCGGCACTCTTGGCATGTATTTTGGATCTACGAACTGATTTGACGTGCCGGTTCATCTTCCCTGACCGGTTGAACCAACTATAGGATGAGTTAAAAAGAAAGTGACCGAATTTGAAAAATGTGTTCAAAATATTCGGCGCGTTCCATTTTCATGGGCGTCAATCGGTGGGGGACAAGTCCTCCCCCCCCCACTTTTTTTTTTAAGTGGCGGATATCATATTGTTTGCCCCCCCCCCCCCCACACTTGTTCTATCCCCGAATAAAAATTGTAGCCTACATAATGATTCTATAGTAGCTGATTCAATGACTCCAAACTCAAAAAATGATGTTTAAAAGATGATCTTTTGCTCACAAAAGTGGTTTGAGTGCTCAGAAATTGCCTCGAATCGCACCACAGATGAAGCATCTAGAATCCAAAAAATTTTGGGGCCCGCTCCATGCCGTAATAGGTATGTTCTCCACTTTTGGGAAGCGACTGCCGCCCTTTGTTTTTTTATGGGACGAAGTACATCTTATGGGATTTTAAGTGTGTGAACATTTCACCTAAATTGCACAGTCTAATCCGAAGTTATGTCTATTTCAATAAAACGATCACAAACTTGTTTACCACTCATCACGTGATGCAAACTGAACACCCATTGAGTACAATGAAACGTGGACTTTCCCACCTCCACTGAATGAACAAGAGCATGGGAAAGGATACAAAAATCACCATCAATATTTAAAAAAAAAATAGAGCTAACTTGTTTCTTATATATTGAAAGCACACATTCTGACAGTGGTTTCCGTCTTGAGTTCAATTACAATGTATTAAAGGGAACCTGCAAAAGGATTTGTATAACTTAAATAGATTTAAAACAGCTTTCTTGCCATGTTACTATGACTTTCAATCTTCGTTTGTAGTAGAAAAAGGGAGAAATTTCAACATTTCAATTTTTATGCTATTGAAACTTTCCATATTCATGACCAAAGCGTAATGTCATTTAAAGCAGAACAGAAGTGTCTCTACAGCTTTGAGTACAAATATATATCACACTTGTTTCTATTTTCTTGCAGTAAGTTCCACTTTTTACTTGTTTATCATGTTAAACAGCTTGTTTGGACACTAGCAGTCGCCACTAGTTTTTTCGAAGCTTTTTTTATGGGTAATTTTGAAGGAGTTATGTTTGTACTGTTCATATGCACTTTTGACAAGGAGTTCCTTGTGCGACAAAAGCAAAATAGCGCCCATTACATGCGATTGTTTTGATGAAAGGATTTGCTAACAATTGAAAAACTACCACTCTCTTGTCACTTCCAACGAAAACAAGTATTACGATCTTGTATGTATTGTTGCGACACATAATAATGTGTAAGAGAACAAGATGGGCTGAATTTCCACTGCATGTTTCCTTTAAAGTCTTGTTGGCATTTTAAAGTTTGTCTGTAATATGATTCTCACTATTAACTCAATAGCTTCCAATGACATTCAAGGACAGCTATAAAAATGGGCTACGTTTGTAACACATGCATAACTTCTGAAAGCATTGGTAAATTTTAGTGATTCATTTTTTTCTTAGAATGAGTGGAAGAACATGCTCTTAAAGACATGCTTGATTGGTGTTGATTGTTTGCTAAGAAAACAAAGACAAGTTAATCTTTAATCGAATCTGCCTGTAATTTTTACAACGAGCAAGAACTCTAAAAATGGGATAAAATGTCTTGGCATGTTTTTTTAATGTTCAACCAATTAGTTGCGGGTGCCCGCAGCATGCGGGTCCACTTAGGGAACTCTAAGGGTGCTTCGTGAATACCACTTAACGCAAGTCTTACGTGCCCTTAACATCCACTTACGGGTCCCCGCAACGCAAACATTTACGGGTGCTTTGTGAATAAGGACCCTGGGTCCGAGTTGGATTGGGCCTCGCTTTTTCCAAAAGACCTATAGCTTGGCGTTGGTCGCGGCGCGAATCCCCTTACAATGATTTCGCTACAGGTTGAGTAAAAAAAAAAAATAGCGGAACCCAAACCCCAAAATTATATCCATAAGCTTCTTTTAGATGAAAAAAAATTACTGAAATTGCTCAATCTGTTCAAAGAATATCACCATTTAAACACAGAGCCATACTACGCATGCGCGAAGTGTACAGCGCCATCCAAACAAGATGGC